GCAGGGGTGGCGGGGGGTGGTCTCAGTCATGCAGAGTTTGAGCTCTCTGAGAGACATCCAAGTGCTCAGTGGATAGCTGGATATAATGACATGGAACTCAGGGGAAGGTGTGGTCTGGAGATAAGACTTTGGGATTTGTTGACACGTGGACAATGCCCACAGAGGTCAGGTAGGTAATATCAGTGAGAGAACTGGGCCAGCTGAGGTGAACAAGGGGGCCAGTTGTCACTTAGCTCGTAGGGGTTGTTGTCATGTGGAAATGAGGGCCAGGTGTAGCAGGTCCTGCAACTAAAAAAAGTAAAAGTAAAGGAAGGCCACATAACAAATGGATAAGGTGCCACACAGGGTTCCAATTCTGACGCACCACTTATTGCCGTGTGACCTTGATCAAGGTATATCATCTCCTTGTGCCTCAATTCCCCCGATGGTAAAATAGGAATAATAATGGTACATACTTTGTGGGGTTGTTTGGGGATTAAATGGTTTAACCTTTGTAAAGCACTTAGGACAGTGTGTTGCTTTTGTATAAGCATTAACACTTGTTAAATAATCAATAAATGATAGATAAGTGAGTCAATACTGTTGTGAAGCGAAATGAACAGAGGGTATAAGATGGAGCCCCAAGGAGTATTAATATTTAAAGGAGTGTTGAGCAGACAGAGGAGTAGCAAACCAGAAGCGGGGTGTCCTAGAGCCAAGGCGTATGAGTATTTCTAGACAACAAGGTTAGTCTGTGTTGTCAGACATGGCAGAGAGATCAGGTAATATAAAGACCAAAGCGTCAGTTGACTCTGGCAGCAGTACCCCTAATCCTCACAGAATTCCTGCAAGGCAGGTATTATTTTATTGATGAGGAAACCAAGGTTTTTGGAGGTTATGCAGATAAGCTAACTCATGCAGCTGGACAGTGGGGGAGATGGGATGGTACCCAGATGGGTCAGATTCTGGAGCCCATGATCTAGGTCCTGCTTCTGGAAGAGTTAACAAAGAATTTTACCCAGGTTTCTGGAGAGCAGTAGGGTTGGTTTACTTTCCTTGCTTATAAGCAGAGGATATGGTTTTCTCTCTGTCCTTCTGAAATAGCCTGTGCTTTCTCATTCCTTCTTGAGATGGATGACCTGGGATTTATGTCATTATCAAGAGGATGTCTTATATATCATCACATGTAAGAGCAGAGCTTTTCTCTGTTCCAAACCTGGCTTTTTGGGTAAATGGGTCCAGTAACTTCAGTCATCTCAAAAGGAAAGATTTGCCTCGAGGATTCGAGAATTTGGATATCAATACAGTAAGTCCCCTACATACGAACGAGTTCCGTTCCGAGAGCGCGTTCATAAGTCCAATTTGTTTGTTAAGTCCAACAAAATTAGCTTAGGTACCCAACTAATACAATCAGTTATATAATACTGTACTGGAATAGATTTATAATACTTTTTACACAAATAATACATAAAAAACAAACACAAAAAATAAAGAAAACATTTTAAATCTTACAATGCAGTACCTTGAAAAGTACAGCAGTACAGTACAACAGCTGGCATACAGAGGCTGGCGTGGAGTGAACAGGCAAGAAGAGTTACTGACTGGAAGAGGGAGAGGGGGTGGCAGATGTTAGAGCTGAAGCTGCAATTTCACTCACGCCTGATGTTGATGGCATTGGTTCTGGTTCTTTGCTGGATTCAGTTCTATCTACCCTCTTGAAAAAACGATCCAGTGATGTCTGGGTAGCAGCTCTCATCCTCTTCCCGTATCTCCAGTAAGGATACTGTACTACTGTACTCTATACAGTACTGTACAGTAAGGTACACAAAAGCACAACCACGTGTAGAGGAGGCATGCACGTGACAATGTGTGCCAGACGCATGAACTAACTTACGTGATTGTACATGCGAACGCACGTTCGCATCTTTGAAAGTTCGCAACTTGAAGGTTCATATGTAGGGGACTTGGTGTAATGCTGAACTGATTCCTTTTTCACTCAGAGCAGCAAGTTGTTTCAGGAGAAAAGAATGAAAATGTGCCTGGTGGAACAGGACTGTGTGATGTCATGGGAGTTAGTCAGAAATCGGGAACACAGTGTACTGTCCCCAGAGTCCTGTTGTCCCTACATGGGTCACCCAGACCTGGCGGAACCAGGCTCCTTGCCCATTTCCGCATCTGGCCCCTGGGGGAGCTTAATTGGCATAAAGAGAGGGTTAACCATTAAAATCTGGAGCTGTCTTTTTTCACCTGGTTGAGAATAAACAGCACGAAGCAAATCTTTTTCAAGAGCAAATTGTGGATTATCTGGGTGAAAACCTCAGCGTTTAAAATGACTCTCAAAAACAAGCATCCAACTTTTGCTGTTTTGTTTCACCAAACAATGATAATAACATCTCTTCCTGGACTACAGTGAACATCCCTGCCGGGGCCGTGTGCCTACGCTGGCGTACACGTTCCTCATTCTTTAATGTTGGGTTAATAGTTAGCAATGCTGAGATCCCCAAAGTGAATGAGGACCCCATGAAGAAAATGAGTAGCTTTATTTTAGGAAATCAGTGATCAAAAGCTTAATGTTTACAGCAGCATGGTGTTTAATGTTTTCCCACATTTTTTCAGAGGCTGCTTGGATGGATTACAGTTATTTGTGCCCCACCCCCACCTAGAGCCCCTTCCAGTGTTCCCGCTTGTAGAGAACAGCGCCACCTGGGGGTGGACCCGGTTTGCGTGGGATCTGAAGCTTGTAAGAATTGGGGGACTTTTTGAAATGAAAAAGAAAAAAAGAGTATAAAATTAGGTACAGAAGAATGAGTGCTCATTTAGAATGAAAAGCGAATGTGGGTAGGAGCCCATGCAGTGAAGGGTCCTGAAGCTTCAGCTTCGTTAGCTTCACGCCAATTGGGCCCTTAGAGCCCACTACAAATGAGGCAATTCTGCAGATCCTGTTCTACAAATGAGGCGCCTTCATATCTGGTGACTTCTCCAGCTGAATCTCTAACCAACTGCCTTCCCTTCCCGCCATCCTGCTGCGCTGACCTCCCTGGCAAATCCTGCTCTTTCACCCCCTTGTGTAAGCTTTGTGTAACCAAAGCTCCTTTCCTTCAAAGTTTCATCGTGTCTGTGATTTAAATATTTTTGCATTAATATTTGTCCAGCTAAGGATTCTAAAAAAATCCGTGAGACCTAGGACTGTGTTTATGTTGTGTTGTATTTTGCTCATGGTTCTAGTACCAAGGCTTATTAGCTAAGTGCCTGGTCCCTAGTTGGAACCCAAATACTTATTGAATGAATGAATGAATTTGTGAAGAAGGATGCTAGATAAGAATAAATTTGTGGGTTTTGTGCCCCAAAGAAAAATTCCACTGGGTAAGGCCAGCTTAAGGGTATTTGGGTCAACTGGGGTCAAGATGAGGATTGTCAGCAGCAGAGCCTGCTCTTATATTTGAGAAAGTTGTTCAAGCTTTGCCATTCAAAATCTCACCTTGAAGAGGCTGACATCAGCCTTGCGTTCAGCCTGTAGAAACCTTTGGGAGCCTTGGGACTTCTCTGGGGGTGCACTGGATAAGACTCTGCACTCCCAATGCAGGGGGCTGGGTTCGATCCCTGGTCAGGGAACTAGATCCTACATGCATGCCGCGACTAAGAGTTCACATGCCACAACTAAGGAGCCTGTGAGCCACAACTAAGGAGCCCACCTGTGGCAACTGAGACCCAGTGCAACCAAATAAATAATAAATATTTTTTAAAAAAGAGAAACTTTTGGGAGCCTTGAACGGCAGCACTCCAGGCTCCATATGCACATGTAGATACAAGAAACATACTTTGAATCAAGCAAGTGATTCTGGGAACAGTCCTTATTTGGGATCTATAGCTCTGTTCCCCTCACTAGGTGAGAATTGGCTTCTTCACTCCACTACTTTAAATTACAGGTGGTTCTGCTCTAATGTGATATACACATTCCTATAAAACCTTCCTTTCAGCAAGGATTGAGCTGAAAGGAGAGCAGGGAGAGCCACTGTCCCTTTGCAGGAGGGTGGCTTTTGGTGGATGCAGGAGTAGGCCCAGCTGGGAGGGGTTGGCATGCGAGGGGAGCTGAGACTAGGCCCTCTGCTTTTCAAGGTCACCTGGTCCTCCTAACTGCCCCAATACAGGCCAAGTCATCCTCTGCCTCCATGCTTGACTCATGCTGTACCCCAAACAGTCCAGAATGTTCTTCTAGAGTCACTTCCTGATCACATCCCACCAGCCAAGTTCAAGCTCTAGCTTTTCCTTGCTTGGCTGTGCCCACCCATATTAAATTTGATCTTCTCAGAGGTCCAATAGTCATGCAGAGTAATCTCCTCCCATGATTTTGAACCGTGTCCTGCCTTGTGTTAGGTAACCCTCTCATGTCTCATGTGTCCCCAACTACTCTGTAGATGCCTCAAAGCCAGGGAACATGCTGTACTTCTTTGGTGTCCCAACAGTATCACACCATGTTTGACTCATTCAGGCTTGATACCTCATTCTTTCATTCCACGACTGGTTCACTAAATAACAGTTGCTGGGTCAGTGGCAAGGGAAGCAGAAATAAAAGCTGCAGTTCTTTCCCTCCAGAATCTCCCAGTCTGGTGGAAGAGCCCTTCATGATTGGGCGCTTAATTGGTGATTTTCTCTGTTCGGAGTGACCTTGAAGGAACTGGGCATGGGGCAGATGAACTACATTCCCAGTTTCTCCTGAGTCCCATCTTTCATTCTGAGTGGATTCTTTAAACTTTGGGAACATGCTCATAGCATCAATTACAAATGTAACATTCTGAATTCAAATATGAGAGAAGAACGGGAGCCCGTAAATGCAGTTATTCAAAGTTCATTATGCTCAGACACTGTGGTGCTAAATAGGTAAGAACACGAGTGCTGTGCTTGTTTTATATGTGGAGGTGACTGTTTTATGATGGACGTCATTAACAGACAAGGCCTTTATTAAACCTTATGACAACAATGTGTGGTTAACGTAACCAAGTGTTTCGCTTCTTCATGTTTAGGAAATTATACAGTTTTGGCTCTCAAAGGGTGTCGATGGCTTTAGCTTCGATGCTGTTCAATTTCTTCTAGAAGCAAAGCATCTGAGAGACGAGGCCCAAGTGAATAAGAACCAAATCCCGGTAAAGTTTTAAACATATACGTATATATGTTTTAAAAATATATTTTTAAGTAAACATATATTTATTTAAAAATGTTATATATGTATATATTTTTTCTGAAAATGTCATCAGAGTGTTGTCTTTTTTAGCCTGAGACACCACTTACCAGAGGGAAGTGTTTTGAATCATTTTCTTTAGAAAATACAGAGGAGTTTCAAATGCATGTGACCAGATATTTCCTTCCACTGCTTCCTCCTGAGTGATCCCTATAGGAGTCCCTCGAAGGCGAGGTTTCTGGAGGGCATGGACAGTGTGGACTCCACCGGAGGCCATAACTTACTCACTGTGATTTTGTCAATCACTCAAGCTCAGGGTAGGCGGCCTAAATTCCCCAAGTGCTTTTGTAGTCATTAAAGGACACACAGGTAGAAGGGAAGGGAACCAACACTTGCTGAGTGTCAGTTGTATGCTATTTGTTGTATCCATTTAACTCTCTCAACATCTTGTGACGTTTCATGATCCCCATTTAGCAAATCTTAGAGAAATTAATTTATCAGGGTGACAGAGGTGATAAACAGAATTCCACCCAAGCCTGCTGCAGAATTTGGGCTCTTTGTGCTTCCACCAGTGGTTCTTAACCTTCCTCCCATGTCACACGTGAGAGAGTAATAATCCCATGCCCCCCTCACTCCTCTAGTTGACCACCATTCTACAGTCTCTCTGTTTTCAATGGCCAAGTAGACAGTAGTCCTAAAATGCATTCCAAAATAACGGATTTATACATTTACACAATGAAATGTCAAAATAAATGAATTATAGTGACACAGCAATATGGGTCAATCTTAGTGATATAATGTGCAGCAAAAAAATCTAAAATTATTATATATAGCATGATGCCCTTTTTAGAAAGTAAAATTAAATTCATATGGTCACCAGCTTGATAGTCCTGTCTGAGTAACAAAGGGAAGCTGGCCATGCATGGGCTAATTATGAGACCATGTCATGAACCAAAGTTTATGATTAAGCTTTTTTTGTTGTTGTTGCACATGATTTCCAGTAGAAAGGAAAAATGAAGGGGAAAAAAGGTTGTGTATTAGCCAGTTGTCCCAAAGAGAAGCACTTATCCTTGGAGGAGAAGAAATCTCAAAATAACCTTGCTAATTATAATCAGATGTCCTAAGACAGGCATATGTTTCCAGTCAAGACAAATGATCAGAACAATGGGTTTTGTGTGCTACCCAAGAAAAACTTAAATAACATGTAATTTCCGGAAGACATCTAAGATTTCAAAAAACTTCCCTTGATCTAGCAAGGGAAAATCACTTATAAAAAAGGGGTCCACTGAATGGATAGCAACTCATGGACTCTCTAGCCTGTCCACGTCCTAACCCAGGACTTACAAACTGAGCCTGTATTAGACATAATCTTTTACTTTGATTCCAGAAGATTACTGTAACCCTAGGAAGGCAGAGAATGAGTATCACAAAAAATTACTAAAACCCTGGAAAAGTATAACGGTAAGAATAAAGGACAAAAATGGTAAAGAAACAAATTTAAATGCATGATATTAATACTTTTGTAAGCAGATAATGTAATAATACACTCTATAATTAAGATAATGTTTTGTTTGCCTTTAAAAATGTCTGGTGTATTTGGGACAATAAAATGTTTAGGAGGATTTTATTAAATACATTTGTAATCAGTATTTAGGTGTTTGGTAAAATTTAACTTGTTTACTAGATTTTAGTTAATAATTTATACACAAAATGAAACACTAATAGTTTCTAATGTTCTTTTCCATCCACAAATTCCCTTGAGCAGCATAAGTCCTATGACCATCTTTGAGCATGTGTGTCTCAGCTTGAGCCCTTTGAAGAGACAGTCCGTATTCACATGAGGCCAGCTATGGGCATTTGACATTTGACATGATGGTAACCATGCTGTCCTGTTTTCAAAGGACACAGTCACTCACTACTCGGAGCTGTACCATGACTTCACCACCACACAGGTGGGAATGCACGACATTGTCCGCAGCTTCCGGCAGACAATGGACCAGTACAGCAGGGAGCCTGGGAGATACAGGTAACCACGGGTGCAGTGTGTGATCTGCACTTTATCCCTCACAACCAAGCATTCTTAAGAGATTCAGTTATAATTTAATAAACCGCATAATTACAATGTATCATAACTCAGTTATGCTCAGACATATATATATATGGTATATATATGGTATAGTCTCTCACGTTCCTTAACTTTGTTGATTTTGTTTCCTCTTTTGGAAAATGAAGCAAATCCCACAGTACTTATTCACAGGAATTTTGTGAAGATTAATTAAAAGATAATATATTATCCAAAGGTTAGTCATTAACCATTACTATTTTTTATCATTATTTGACCTGTTAGCATGCAAATGTTCCAACTAAACTGTTAGCTGTTAGGTTAGTTAACATGTCTCAGTTTTCTCAACAATTAAAAAGTGATGATGACACCCCCATAAGGTTGTTGTGAGATTACATGAGATAATGTCTGTGAAGCACTTAAAACAATGCCCGGCACATAATAAACACTCAATGAATTTAACTCTTATTGTGTTTATATAGATTACCCAATAGAATCAGTGGAAAAGGAGTTCAAGAAATTTCTTCTCCTTAAAGTAGGTCCTCTGATCACTATTCCCACTTTACAGATGAGGAGACTGAGACTCTGAGCATGCAGGTAATGGTCACATAGGTAGTGGCCGCAGAGATGGGACTGGAACTGAAACACGCGAGCTCCAGATACTATGTAACTTATCCATTAATGTAATGTCTCAAACAGCTAAAACCAGCATTGATGTGAGTCATTTCAGGCTAATATGTCTTCCCTGAAGAGTGTTTGGTTTTCAACAACTGAGAGTGCACCCCAATAATAAAGTGAGACTTTATAGGGATTCCAGTACAAGGGGAATTTGGGGGAACCCCTCTTACCTTATATGCAGACATATACTGTACATTCTAAGTGGAGTGATGAGAATTGCTAAATAAAGTCTTCCTGCAAGTTACTGAGTTTCATTCAGAGTTAGAAGGAAAAGAACAGTATTGACTGAGATCCAAACATGTTTCTTTTAGACATGGCTTAGTATTAAGCTAGTCTTTGGGTTTAATATGAGAAACTGCCAGGTGACCCAGTGTGCCATTTCTTAGTCATCTGGCTTGATTCTGCTTCCTAGTGAGCCCTAGCCAATACTGTTAACAGTATGCATTCACCTCCCGACATCCTGTCCATGAGACACAGCAGCTGCAAAGCACTTTCCCAGTCTCCTGACAGGCCCTGATGTCACTGCACTGCCAACTCTTACAGGTTCATGGGGACTGAAGCCCATGGAGAGAACATTGCCAAGACCATGATGTACTACGGTCTGCCTTTTATCCAAGAAGCAGATTTTCCCTTCAACAGTTACCTCGGTAAACTAAACATGCCTTCTGGGAACAGTGTGTTTGAAGTTATCACATCCTGGATGGAAAACATGCCAGAAGGAAAATGGCCTAATTGGATGGTAAGTCCTTAGGCGCAGCTCAGCATACGGTGCTGGTGTGCTTGCTGAATAGTCCTCTGAAACAAGGGGCACATTTGTCTCTAAGTGACCTTCACCTTTCCTTCATTTTGTGATTTAGTGAGCCAGATGCATCCCAGCTCCTGACCAGGTTCTTGTCATTCTTCATTCTTTTCCTTCTGGTTCTGAGACTAGATAATTTCAACTGGTCTGTCTCATTTGCTGAGTCCTTGGCCAGTTCAAATCTGTCCAGCCCGTCTAGGGAATTTTTCACTTCCTTTATTGTATTTTTCAACTGTAATTTTTTTCATAATTTCTCTTTATTGACAGTATCTATTTGATAAGGCATTGTTCGCATACTTTTAAAGAATCCTGTAGATGTTGTTTAGGTTTTTGAACACGCGTATAAGAGCTGATTTAAAGTCATTGTCCACTAAGTCCAATGTTTGGGTTTCCTCAGCCAAGTTTTCTGTTGATGCTTTTCCCCCCTCTGTATGGGCCATACTTTCCTAGTTCTCTGCATGTCTTGTATTCTTTTTTGTTGTTGTTGAACACTGGATATTTTAAATAGTAAGTATAGAAATTTTGGAAATCACATTCTCCCCTCTCCAGTGTTTTGTTTCTTCAGTGACTTTCTTGGATTAATTCTGTAATATCTGTGTTACTTGTTGTGTGTGACCACTGAAGTCTCTGCTTGGTCAGCTAGTGATTGTTAAGATTCCTTAGATGCCTTGAACCTGTAAGTCTCCCAGCCTTTGCTGAGGGCTGTGTGTGGGGTGGGCATGCTTTCAACACTTTGGCAGGCAGCTTACAGCTCTGCCTGTCTTTCCTTTCTGCTTGAGTGAGTTTCAGGGTTAGCCAGAGGGGAGAGATTAGATTCTTGGGGCTTCCCTGGCTACCTGTGCAGCCCTGTGCATGTGTGTAGGCTTCTAGATTCCAGGAAAATGTCAGAGCCTTTCAAAGCCCTTTACGGTCATCTTATTCCTAACTTTAAAGTTTTTTGGTCAGTCTCTGTTTAGCCCAGGTTGGTAACACCACCTCAGGCAAGTATTGATAATCAATTGCTGCTGACTGTTTTTGGCAAATGCCTTGGGGATAAGACAATCTGCACAGTTAGCTTTGAGTCAGATCAGATAAAGAAAAAACCCAACCAAAAGTGAGCTGCTAGAAAGGTCGAACAGTGCCAGTTCTCTAGAGATGGAGCTTTTGATGAACTCAAAACCTATTTTGGTCCTCCAGTGGCTACTAGGCTGCTGGGTTTTACATTTTCTGTTGGTTTTCAAGGCTATCTTGAATGTGAGGGGACGGGCATGAGATTATGGCCAGTTAAAATGATACAAAGCTTGCTCTTCTGAGATCCAGCTGTTTTTCTTGAACACTCCTTGTATTGTTGTAAGCCTTTCATTTCCAAGTTCTGAAAAAGTGGATTTTTACAGTTTTTGCCAGCATTCTCCTTGCTTTCATGCTAGAGATTTTTGGAGGTCCTTACTCCACTATTCCAGAAGTACCCCCTCTCTATACAAATTTTATAATGTAGTTGTAGCACGTTTTTTCATATACTCAAAGTCTCATATCATAGGCAACTGGATCTCAGCCTGTGAGAGGCCCTGATCTCTGTCCAATGCTAATCTTGATTTCAGTTCTGAGAAAGACAAGTGATCTAGGTTCAGAAGACTTGAGAAATCACAGGGTTTCTTGTCAGATGCTTTTGAGATAATGAAAAGAATAAACGGTGGAAAAGTTTGACCTAATTTTCTGGCCATAAAAATAGAAAAATACAATGGTCTATAAAAAGATAATTGTAAAGACAGTTTTAGTAAATCTAAAGAATAAAAAAGCAAGCTCCCTTTTTCCTGAATTCTAACAACCAAGTTCATATTCTCAGACTCAAGTTCAAAGGCTGGTTCTGCCTCATGACCTTAACCTGAATAAATGATGCAGTCTCTCAGAGCTTGTTTCATCATTTGTAAAATGGAAAGGTTAGGTGATTTAAATAAACTCTTAAATAAGGACTAGATGTTAAAATATGTAATCAGAACATTTAACAAAGAAATATATTTAAAAATACAAAGTCCTGTACAAAATTTCTTCTTAGACTGTAAATATATTTGTAAAAGTTGATTTACCTTTTAACTTAAAAATTTTTTGAATAGTTCAAAAATCACACACACACAAAGGGACAGATCAGAAGTCTTTCTCTCACCCCGGTCCCCTCCACCTGTTCCCTCCTTGGAGGAAACACTTGTTTCCTTTCCTGTCAATATTCTCTTATCCAAATGTGCAAAAATATTAGTATGTACCCTCATACATTTCATCTTATTTGCAATATGAATGTGAAGTAAGCTGTTATCACCATTTTGTTGATCATAATGGCCAAGTCAGTCAGATGGTCAATTGTACAGCAAGGAACTGGTTAGGACTCAATTGCAGGCTTGCTGATACGAAGGTACCCATGGTTAACCATGTTTTTCTGCCTGGTGGACTTTTTGTGAAATAGGGTAAATCTTTCAGCAAACTCTGTATAGAGCTGTGCTCTTAAAATAAAGTATCTGCCTTTCAGACTGGCGGACCAGACAATGACCGGCTGACTTCTCGTCTGGGGAAACAATATGTCAACATCATGAACATGCTTGTGTTCACACTGCCTGGAACTCCCATAACTTACTACGGGGAAGAAATAGGAATGAGAAATATTTTAGCCACAAATCTCAATGAAACCTATGATGTTGTAAGTTAATATAACTTAACCATGCACCACACCAAATCCTCATTTTTTGCCAAATCAGAAAATTTACTATTTCTATTCTGCTGCTGAAAATCATGATTACTTAGCTTTTGTTTCTCACTGTTTGTTAGGCAGTGAGAAATTTCCAGCTTTCTTGATTGGGGAGCTTGTTAAAAATGCTGCTTGCTGAGCCACACAACTGAATTTCTTGTGTAGAGCCCAGGATCTGCATTTCAAAGATGTTTTCCAGCTGATTCTCAGGTGCACTAAAATTTAAGAAGCCACGTTTTGAGTTTCGAATGCCCTCTACCTGAAACACGGAGTTAAGAACATTTATTATAGTGCTTGTCTGTATTGCTAGATCTCGCTTGGCCATAACATAAAAGGAAGAATCCTTGTGCTAACAAATGTAATGGACAGCCTTAGGCCTGAGAAGTTTAAATTTTGGTTTTTGTTTGAGGCTATGGATCTCACAATTGTGTTGCTGGGCAGATGAAAGACCTTGAAGCTATAATTTGTATGGTTAGCTTTCAATGGTGAGATCCAATTTCCCTAACATTTAGTCACAATGAAACCTTTTCTATTTAAGCTCCTAAATTTGTGTGTGCACTCATGCGATAACCAGGCTAAAAAGGATACAGTCTAGGCTCACCTGTACATGGCTGCATGCCTGAATTCACCGATCACTGTATCACATTATAATGAGTTTGTAAATGGCACATTTTGAAATCCTACATCACTCATTTTTAGGGAAAAGCAGCAAAGATTCCAAGCATGTATCAATGTTGTTAGTAGTTTATTTACACTCAAGATATCATTAACTATTTTCCAATTGAAAGTGTAAAACTGGTTTATGTACTGAATATTAAGGCCTTTTCGTTATGAATGCTAATGAATTTGAGTACTAGCTGAGAAATATAGGGAATTAAATACTTCTGAAGTAAATCATGGCCAAATTACATTTCTTTTAATAACCAGACCACTGTTTTTTTTCTTTATGGTCTTTTGACATAGGATACTCTTCTCTCAAAGTCACCAATGCAGTGGGACAATAGCTCAAATGCTGGTTTTTCTGAAGGCAATCACACCTGGTTACCCACCAGTTCAGATTACCACACTGTGAATGTTGATGTAAGTATCAATGAAAATTTCATGCTAACTCCAGAACAGGAGATTAGTTCATGTTGCTGACAACATACACTCACCTTGAGTTGTCTAAAACCTTAACTGATGCTCTTTAAATCAATCACATAGACTTCTTTTGCAGTTTTCATTTTTAAGGAGTTTGTAAATCATGTTTTTGTGGAAATACAAGCTGGTGCAGAAGTGTACCATCTGAAGTATCATACAGAATACACAACTCTTCATTGGAATGACTTTGAGCTATGAAATATTAAGAACATTTTATGGAGGGCTTCTAGCAAGCCTGCTATCATTTCTCCATTCCACCCCTCCAAAGGAAGGAAAGAAAGTAGAAGATCAATCAATCAATCAATCGAGGGTAAGATTCTTGAGAGCAAGGCTGTTTACCTACAGAAACTGAAGCATGAATAATCCCTAAAAGTAGCTGTTCTGGAAAAGCATACCCTTCAGCTTTTGCCTATACTATTTTCTGTTCTCATGGTGATCAACTTAGCCAAGTTCAGCAAACAAATTTCTTAAACAGGAATGCATTAATTCCAGCAAAGTGCTAAACACATTTCCTTAGACCAGAAAAATGTGAAATGGCTTCAGGTGAGTTTCGGGTGTTTTCAGTGGAAAACACAATCTGAACTACTTAATGGGGAGAGAAATTACTGGCATCACATGAGGATACAAGTTTTATAGCATCTACTAAGTATTTTGAAAACAATCCCCAGATTATTCTGATACGGAACTTCAGGCAAACCCTCCTGGTTCCCACATCTCCCTGATCCAAGCACCCCAGGGATAACTTTGTTTTATATGGTCATAGGTCCTTGAAACACAAAAAATGTATGTTAACATTTGTGTTTTGGATTAAGTGCACTTACTGATTTTCATTACGTCCAAATGTCCAAAATATTCCCATAGGCCAATTTGAATCCAATATGTAAGAAATCCTACATAAAAAAGTACAGCAGCAAAGATGGAAAAATGTAAATGCAAATTAAAATAATGGTCAGATCAGTCAAGTCGTTAAAATGATCATGAGTAATGCTTGGAGGGATGCTAAACCATAATCAAATAACCGGAAGTCCCAGGCAATGCCATTTTAATAAAACACCTCCATAATAGCTCTAGAACAAGGTGAGAATTTAGGTACTTTCTAGAAGATAGAAAGTAAAATTAAGATTACAAAGAAACAAGAGCATAGAAACCATAATCTAAAATACACAGGAGAAAACAGCACTGACAGGTACAGGTAAGAGCACTGCAGGAATTCATCCACCGCTGCAATTGGCTGCCCCAGAATTTGCCTGAGGAAAAAACTCAGGGCCTGTTTGGTGATCATACTCGTGTTGAATGAATGAGTAGAGCAAAGCTTGAAATAGTGTTAAACTTCTACAAGCATAGTCGAAGAAAGAAACGGAGAAGAAAACCTAATTCCCTGGGATGATTCACTGAGGAATGATCTCCAAAGTAAGAGTTTTTACTCCTCAGTTCACAGAGGCCTTAAGAGGAGGGTAGGACCCTAGGTAGCTGGTCACCATTAAACAGGAAAAGAACCCCTATACCCCAAAGACAAACCAGACCTACCTCCAAGTTGGCTTCTCACAGTTAGTAGAGGCAGGCAACTGAAGACAGGCAAACAAGGAGTATCAAATACAAAAGTAAATGAATCACCAAAAATCACACTACATCTGAGAAAAATTAAGGCCATGAAAGAGAAACACCACTCCTAACAAAACACTGTAGAAAGCGAAGAAAATGTAACATAAGACTTCATTATTAGTAAAACTGCTCCCTCCCTGAGAGACTATTGTTTTATGTAGCCCTTGACACTCTTTTAAAGAAGTGATTAGGTATCTTAGAAATATGAAAATATTGTCAAAATAAACAATAAAATAGAAGTTCTAATTAGTGTGCTGGAAAACTGACTCAAGGGTTTACCCCAAAGTGTACTGTAAAAAGACAAAGAAGTTTTTTCTTTTTAGAACACAACATGATTATATTTTAATACACGATCAAAATACGAAACACCATAGTAAATTGATAGCAATAATAAAGGGCTTTTCATTTGCATTGCATGTAACAAAAGACATTGATATTCCAAGGGAAATGGAAAACAAAAAGGCAAAGAAGTTAACAGTATAAAGAGAAAATTTTTGATATGTGGAGAATAAATCTAGAAATTCCAACATATAACAAAAAACAAGTTCTAGAAAAGAACAGAGACTAATAAAGAGAAAACCTAAAAATATACAGAAAGAAACCAAACTCGGAAGTAGATTGCCTGAGAAAAGGACTGAAAATTGGACTGTCATCAGACTTCTCAACTCGATACTAAAACACATTAGAACTTTACCTTCAAAGTTGTAATGGAAACTTGATTCTAAACAAAGAATCCTATATCCATTCAAACTAGCATTCAGGAGCAAAACAGAGATGGAAAAGCAAGGACCCAAATTTTACCATATATAGCCAGTTTCTGAAAGAGAAATTGGGGACTCCAACAAAACCAAAAAGGAATCTAAAAGGTGGACATGATGTATAAAACATAGTGAGGAAAGGAACCAACAAAACTTAAGGATGAATAATTTTTGATACATAATGTAAAATAAGGCATTCTGGAGTAAAAATCTTAGTGATTTCTTTCTATTTGGGAAGTGGTAGCAGGGAGGGTGTGTGTGTGTGTTTGAGTGAGCAAAGGCACATGTGCACAGGCTAACGCACTTTACAAGGATGGAAACAGTAACTCACTCTAGATTTGAGCTGTCCAGTAGCCACTAACCACTGTGACTACTAAAACAGAATTAAAACGTCAGTTCCTGTTTCACACTAGCAACATTTCAAGTGCTCAGTAGCTAGTGGCTACCATATTGTACAGCACAGAAACAGAACTTTTGGCACTGCAGGAAGTTCTACTGGACAGCACTGCTCTGTATGTTGAAAAAAATATGTTTTAAATGGTTATTACAGTTTTAAGGGTAACCATCAGAAGAAAAGACACAAATGTGTAATTTTTGAACGATACTGGAAGGAAAAAAATTACATAAAGAAAACCAATTGATCCAATAAAAAGCTAAAAAGGAAGAAAATAAAACATTAGTACAACTAAAATAAAACATTAGTACAACTAAAATAAAAAATAAGGCTACAGGATTATGTCTAAACATATGGTAATCACAGATATGACTGGGTTAAATTCACCTATTAAAAGATATAAACTCTTAGATTAGAAAACAAAGAAAATCTGACATAAGAGATATAGCTAAAACAAAAGGACAGAGAAAGAATTAAAATAAAGATATTACAGGCAAATGCTAACAAAAACAAACCTTGCCACCTGGCTGTAGCTTTCAAAACAAAAAAATGCACCATACCCTTTAATTTAGTAATTTCATTCCTAGATATCTGTATCTAGGAATACTTGCACATGTGGAAAATTCAAGGATCTCTACTGCAGCACTGTTTTTTTAAAAGAAATATAAATTTATATAACATTTTTAACCTATCCAATTGGTATTTTTTTTTAACATCTTTATTGGAGTATAATTGCTTTACAGTGGTGTGTTAGTTTCTGCTTTATAACAAAGTGAATCAGTTATACATATACATATATCCTCATATCTCCTCCCTCTTACGTCTTCCTCCCACCCTCCCTATCCCACCCCTCTAGGTGGTCACAAAGCACCGAGCTGATCTCCCTGTGCTATGCGGCTGCTTCCCACTAGCTACCTATTTTACATTTGGTAGTATATATAAGTCCATGCCAATCTCTCACTTCTTACCAGCTTACCCTTCCCCCTCCCTGTGTCCTCAAGTCCATTCTCTACGTCTGCATCTTTATTCCTGTCCTGCCCCTAGGTTCTTCAGAACCATTTTTTATTTTTTTAGATTCCATATATATGTGTTAGCATATGGTATTTATTTTTCTTTCTGACTTACTTCACTGTGTATGACAGTCTCTAGGTCCATCCACCTCAGTACAAATAACTCCATTTCGTTTCTTTTTATGGCTGAGTAATATTCCATTGTATGTATGTGCCACATCTTTATCCATTCAGCTGTCAATGGACACATAGGTTGCTTCCATGTCCTGGCTATTGTAAATAGAGCTGCAATGAACATTGTGGTACATGACTCTTTTTTTTTTTTTTTTTTACATGACTCTTTTTGAATTATGGTTTTCTCAGGGTATATGCCCAGTAGTGGGATTGTGGAGCACTGTTCTTAATAGCAGAAGACTCTGGAAATGATTTATATATTTTGTCAATAGAAAGCCAGTTGAATCAATTATGGTTAATCTATACAAGAGACAAGTATGCAGCTGTGAAAAAGAATGAGGGAGTTCTCTGTGCATTGATAAGAGACCACCTCTAATATGTACTAAATAATTAAAAAAACAGCGTACAGAATGGTAACATGCCACTATTTGTGTAAACAAGGGAAAAGTATGTCTACCTATGTCTGCATAGGCACAGAATGTATTTCATATGAAACATAAAATGAAAGAATATAAACAATTATAGCGTCTATCTCTGGGAGAGAAAATGGGAAGCTAGGGGATAGTGTTGAAGAAAACCATTTATATATTATTCTTATAATTGAATTTTATATTGTATGCATGCAATTTTCTATTTAAAAAAATATAGTTACAAAAAGCAGGTGTGGAAATATTTAATAGCAGACAAAATAGAATTCAATATGAAAAGCATGAGACAAAGGCAATTTTCAAAAACTGATGAAAGAACATTCCCCTATAAATCATGAATCTATGCATCTAACAATACCTTCAAAATGTATAAAACAAGTACTATGAGAAATGCAATTAAAGACTGATAAATCAACAATTACAGAGAGACACTTCAACATACTTCTAGAAAGTGGTAAATGAAGTAGACAAAAATAATAGTTAACACTTACTGGGCACTTCTTATGTGAGTGGCACTGAACTATGCTTTTTCATGCATTATCTAAGGCTATAGAAAATGTTAGTAGTAATTTGACAAGTCATATACATATACCATATACATGTACCATAAACACCTTTGTACCTGATAAACACAGAATAAACATTTTTTTCAGACATTCATTAGATATTCACTAAACACCACACATTACGCACCTGCCCCAAACAACCACCAGTACCTCTGAGGTCAACATGGCTGGCAAGACTACAATGAAATGAATGCTATCACTGATTTGGCAACAGCTTTTATGAAGACAAATTTGGCATTATGTATCAAGTATCCATACTCCTTGACATAATAATTGTCTTTCTGATATTTATATCTTAAATAAATAATCCAAATATGGGGGAAGCATATTAGAAACTTGAATGTCAAAATGAAAGGGAATGATTAAGTATCGTATAACTATTCATTAGAATATTATTCTGCCATTAAAATGACATTTAATATAACAAGATGCTTAAAATGTTAAAGGAAAACAAGAAAAGTACATTAAATTATGTATATTTTATACAGCTGTTAAAATTAACCCCAATTTCTTTAATGGGCATATTTTAACTTTCACTTTAGGCAGCAGTTTGCTTTGCATCCATTTCTGCAATTTTCTGTTCATAATTAGCATCTGTTAATGTTACACCAACCTACACATTATTCTACAGAAGAGAACAGAGAAGCCCCAGTTCACCAGAGGTGCTCGGAGTCCATGGCCATGATGGCTGCTTTTCTGCCAGTTAAATATAGCATAAAGGGACTTTCTTTAGGCAAGTTAAATATCCATTAACTTAAACACGGACATTTAGTGGAGTCAAATTTGGCCTCTACATCAGCTCTGGCCAAGATGTAGCAGAGAACTGTGCACGCAGCAGTCACTCCCAGACAAGGTGAAACCCTGAATTTGTAGTTTCTATCGGTAGTTAAATAAACTATTCTTACCTACTTATTAATACTTAAAAGTTGGTAGTTGTTTTAAGGGTTAAAATAGAAGCAAGTTTTCTGGGGAAATAATTCCTTATTTGATACTCTTAGAATCAAACATTTATATGAATATTCTTTTTTAAAAAAATAGGTCCAAAAGACTCAGCCCAGATCAGCACTGAAGTTATATCAAGAATTAAGTCTGCTTCATGCCAATGAGCTGCTCCTCAGCAGGGGCTGGTTTTGCTACTTGAGGAATGACAACCACTCTGTTGTGTACACAAGAGAGCTGGACGGCATAGACAGAGTCTTCCTCATGGTTCTGAATTTTGGAGAATTATCACCGCTAAATCTAAAGGAAATGATTTCAGATATTCCCACAAGAGTAAGGATAAGGTTAAGTACCAATTTTGCCTACAAAGGCCATGAAGTTGATACGCATGCCGTTACACTGGACAAAGGAGAAGGACTCATCCTTGAATACAACACGAGGAATCTCCTTCATCACCAAACAGCATTCCAAGATAGATGTTTTGTTTCCAACCGGGCATGCTATTCCAGTGTATTGAACATACTGTACAGCTTGTGTTAGGCACCTCTGTGAAAGAGATGGCGACGCTGGCATTCTGTTCTACTGTAAGCATTTGCAGTAACTTCACGTACAGCAGCATGCTGCTGGGTGAACTTTATGATCGGTAATTCTTAGATATTTCTGTAGCTTGAGTGAAACTGCTTTAGGATAGGTTCTCAAATGTTTTTCAAGAATAATAAAGTGTTTAAAAGAAATTATCCCTTGCAGGAACTTGTAATTTTTTTGAGTTAGCATCAATAAGAGATGATCAGAGCACCTTAGGACTCCAGAATTTTAGAGAGATCTAATGAATTTTAATGTGAGGAATATCATCTTCTTACATAAAATGCAGGTACAGAAACTGGAGGATGACTTAACTGCTAGAGTATCTAAAAATGTTCACTAGCAAAGAAGCAGGACCTTGATTTGTAAACTGTTCAAAGAAAATCAGAGTAAAACAAACCTGTTCTGATGCGGGAAAGGGGAAAGTTCTGCTGTCACCAATCCTTCCCTCACGCCCTTCTCTATGTCCTTCTACAGAGCATGGTTTGAAAACTACTTTCCTAGGTTAAGGGGCGTGTGCATCAATGGAGACAACGGTATAAGCAAGTGAGCTGTATACAAAACAAAATCTGGACAGAGAAGCAAATTTTAAAAATTATTTACTAACTTAAAAAACTCACTTTTGTTAATGTAACTGGAAATATGACTATGAAATATTTCAGTGTGTTTCCAATTTCCACTGAATGCAGCATTTCAGAATTTTAGATATTTCTTAAGATTCTCGAAAACACTGGTGCTGTCAAGTCCAAGTTCCTCATACAGGAATTTAATTTGGGCTGTAATCTAAAAGAAACACATTTAAAAAATTAGATAGAAGGCCTTTGTGGTACAACTCCAGTGTTCAAGTCTCTCCTTGTCCATCCATCATTCACCTAACCCTGAAGTCAGCAATTTATGGCAAAGGTACTTTTTATTTGGCACAGAGGCAGAAGGCTCCCAACAACTGAGATTCAACTACTTTCTCTGACAGAGCTCCTGTATCAAGTACCTTTTCTCTTTATTGACTCTGAGTTCCTCCTTCCCCCTCAGGTCTCAGCCATAGACCTGACAGTTGAAGCAGCCGGCACAAACCCTGCTGTAACCACTGAAAGGCTGAGTACAACACATCACTAATTGGGGATCTGTCAACTTAAAGGGGCTTGATAGCATACCTTTTTGTGAGAATCCTCAATCACATGATTGCCTCCAGGCTGAATATCTAAAATAATATTGGGGGCTTGATAACCTGAAAGAGTTAACATATGAAACAATTAGAAGGTTTTGGCCAACTGAGACCCACCCATTTCACCCGGGTCCTTCCAAGCACTCTATTAAAATAACAGCGAAGGAGAAAGGCATAAGCCACGACCACCACCAACAACGAAGACAGGAGAGTTGGGGAGAGCAGTAGAAAACAAATTCTTGAAACAGGAAAAGCAGGAGGAGGCCCAGAGGCAGAGGAAGCTGGATGGAAGAGACTACAGGGCTACATGGAGAAGGAAGCCAATCGGTCTTATGGAATCTGAGAGCCTTGTGACCTGGAAACACCAACTATAGCAATAGGTGAAAGTGAGACACAGAACTGAATACAGGACAACTGTCTGGAAACTTGTATGTGAGACCCTCCAACCCTGAGCCCAGAAGGTCCTGGCATGTCTTGGCAAGGAAAAACAGTAAGAGTTCTTGTCTAATAAAATTGAAAGATCTAGAGAAAATTAAAGTTGCTAGTTTGGGCACTGAAGCTGCAGAGCAAAAACTTCAGAATTTGTTTTTAGAGATTCCCAAGAATAACAGCTCAATTAATTTTGTTACAGAATGAATGATATGATACGGTATGATAGTACACCTCCAAGTTATGTAGATATTTAAATTTACTTTTTCTTTGTGCGTTGCCTACCTTATTTTAATGCTGTCCTTTGAAAAACAGGCGAGGCAGTTATAGTTACTACATTTGCTTCAAATGGGTAGTTGACACAGGAAAAACTGATTTGTCTAAAATCATGGGTGATTGATCTGGTCTGCAGTACTACTCTGAGCAGTACACTGAAGGTGACAGTCCATGTAGCTACGTCCCCTGCTCCCAGGTGGTCTCCTACCTTCCCCGGTGTCCTTAGCATGCTCCACGATGGCTTCCTTGAGTTTCTCAGTATAGTTTACAATTCCTTTCAGAGGCACACGTTCGTCGTTTTCATAAGCTGTGATGTGAATTGAAGGATAATGCTGAAAGAAAAGAGATGTATAAAGAATTTATATTATTCCTTATGGTCCCTTTCCACCTTATGGATTATGAAAAACAATTACCTCCAATTTCTTTTTCCCTAAGTGCTAGAACTTTTTTTCTCATTTGATATTCTTGAGAGATATGTGGCATCAGAATACTAGACTGTTACCTGGAATAACCTTTTCTTGACTAGTGAGACCTTGATCTTATTGAATCTAGTCTCCTGAGCTATTAAGTTGAAACAAACATGGAGTATGAGCAGAGAAGGGGCTGAAAGGTGAGTATTATAAGGAGAAACAATCTAAGGCCTTACTAAATTCCTGCTTTGGCTCGGGTAAATATCCTTTTCATTATTCTATCACTTCAGCATAGTATATCATAACTGTCTTTCACTACCTTAGGTTTAATGTTTTGATAGGGACAGTAACATTTTATGTAGTTCTTGTGTTTTTCATCAGATGAAGGATTCCCCCACTCTTCTAATTCTTCTAATGTCAGAGGAAGTGTAGTGTCCATCATGGTGTTGAGAACATCCAAGAAAGGTGCCTTAAAAAAAAAAAGCCAGAGAAATTTAAACTTTAATTAATAAACTGGTAAAATGAGTTTCAGAAAAATACTATACTTTATGAATATACATGCTGACATCACAGAACAAAGCTCAAGAAGTTATGAACATTCCCAGGAGCCAGATTTATTAGCCAGTCTGTAACCAAGGCCTGTGATTTATAACTGGCTTTTAAGGTATTCAGACTCCTTAAATGACAAAGGATTTATCTTCCAATTTCCCAATTTTTGCCTTTAGTTTTGTTTCTTTTATTCACATAATAAATGCCACCACCTCACATCCATTAGGCTACTATAAGAAAAAAAAGTGTTGGCAAGGATGTGGACAAACTGGAACAATTGTGCACTGCTGGTGGGCATGTAAAATGGTGCAGAGAGTATGTTGGTTTCTTAAAAAATTAAACTTAGAATTATCATATGATCCAGTAATTCTATTCCTAGGTATATATCCAAAAGAAATGAAAGCAGGGTCTTGAAGAGTACACCCCTGTTCACAGCAGTATTTACAATACCCAAAAGGTGGACATAACCCAAGTGTCCACTGATAGATGAATGGATAAGCAAAATATAAATACAATGATACAATGAAATTCAGCTTTACAAAGAAGGAAAATCTGACACCTGCTACAACACAATAGACCTTGAGAACATTATCTAAGTGAAATAAACCAGTTATAAAAAGACATATATAAAAGAAAAAAAAGACATATAAAACATTGTACGATTCCATTTATATAGGAGGTACCTCAGTGTAGTCAGATTCATAGAAAACTAGAATGGTGGTTCCCAGGGTCCAGAGGAAGGGGAAATTGGGGAGTTGCTATTTAATGGGTACAGAGTTTCAGTTTTGTAAGATGAGGAGTTATGGAAACTGGTTGCACAACAACGTTGAGTGTACTTAACACTACTGAACTGAACACACTTAAAAATGGTTAAGATCGGGGCTTCCCTGGTGGCGCAGTGGTTGAGAGTCCGCCTGCTGATGCAGGGGACGCGGGTTTGTGCCCCGGTCCGGGAGGATCCTGCATGCCGCGGAGTGGCTGGGCCCGTAAGCCATGGCCACTGGGCCTGCGCATCCGGAGCCTGTGCTCCACAGTGGGAGAGGCCACAGCAGTGAGAGGCCCACGTACCGCAAAAAAAAAAAAAAAAAAAAAAAGGTTAAGATGGTAAATTTTATGTTATTTTACCACAATTAAAACTTAAAAATAAGGGCTTTCCTGGTGGCGCAGTGGTTGAGAATGCACCTGCCAATGCAGGGGACATGGGTTCGAGCCCTGGGCCAGGAAGATCCCACATGCTTCTGAGCAACTAAGTCCATGTGCCACAACTACTGAGCCTGCACTCCAGAGCCCATGAGCCACAACTACTGAGCCCACGTGCCACAACTACTGAAGCCCACGTGCCTAGAGCCCGTGCTCCACAACGAGAAGCCACCATGATGAGAAGCCCACCACTGCAAGGAAGAGTAGCCCCCGCTTGCCACAACTAGAGATGCCTGCATGCAGCAACGAAGATCCAACGCAGCTAAAAATAAATAAAATAAATTAAAATTTAAAAATAAAACCCCTACTACACATGAATAAACTCAGTTGGACATTTTACATTATAAAAAGGTAATAAATGCTATTGAAGAAAATCTGAAAATTATCCAAGTTGAAAAAGAATATCACTCATTGGCTTATAACCAGTATTAAAACATTTAATAAAATGGGAGCTGCTTTGTTCATATAGCTATATGATCTTCTGTTAACATGTTTTGCAGCTTTCTCTTTTATTAACATTAAGCAAATATGGGCAAATGCAATTCTTTTTGGCTTCCTAGCATCTTAGCTCCTTTTCTGCATTTGGAATATCCCTAACCTTACGAGACAGCCTGCCTCTCACTGTAGAGGAGCTAAATGCCAGATAGTTCCTTTCCCAGCTTTCCCTCAGAGTGAGAGTAGCCACATGACTTAGGTTTACCAGTCAGACATAATGGGCTCCAAACTTTGAATGAATTGTGGGATAACTGCGTTACCTCCAATTCTTCACTATTACAAGCAATGTGGGATAAATATTCTTATATATTTCTGATTATTTCCTTTCTGATTTCTTTCTTTTTAAAAAATTTATTTATTTTTGGCTGTGTTGGTTCTTCCTTGCTGCATGCGGGCTATCTCTAGTTGTGGCGAGCGGGGGCTACTCTTCGTTGAGGTGCGCAGGCCTCTTATGGTGGTGGCTTCCTGTTGCAAAGCACGGGCTCTAGGTGCACGGGCTTCAGTAGTTGTGGCACGCAGGCTCAGTAGTTCTGGTGCACAGGCTTAGTTGCTCTGTGGCATGTGGGATCTTCCCGGACCAGGGCTCGAACCCGTGTCCCCTGCACTGGCAGGCGGATTCTTAACCACTGCACCACCAGGGAAGCCCTCCTTTCTGATTTCTGAAAGTCAAAGGTTAGTTGCATTTTCTTTATAATTCTGACATTATTGTCTTTGTGCATAGAGTTTTTTCCCTTCTATACTTAGTATTTCTATTAAAAAACAGATGTACAGATCAGGAATATTTAACACTTATTTACTTAATACAAGCCCACAGTGTATAGCCCACACCCTTAAAAAAAAAAAAAAAACCTGAAAATAATTTACTCTCCATCTTAGTCATTATCTTCTAGAATATCTATTGTAGAAGAACAAAATTTGTCACCCCCAGATTATTTCAAGCTGAAAACAATCAAGGCCCAAAAGACTTAGGAAGAAACTTTGATATTCTCCCTAACAGCCTGAAGAATTTAGATAGAGGGTGTATTACAGGAACATCACCAGATAATAAATATGGACTAGCTGTGGTGGGGAAATGCTTAGAGACCAGAGTCCACTCTGTGTCCCATGGTCTCTGCTAACCCAGCAAACATCTGTTTATCAAACTTTTGCTTTTCCACCTCCATGTGAACTGCCTTCTACCCCTTGAAGTCTTACCCCTAACATCCTCTTTCGTCTTTAGCTGAAGATGGTGTTTAAGGTGAATAACCATGGCCACCATTCTGGTCATTTTGGTGAGTTACTCAGTCTGCTGGGTCTCTTCCATGTATACATGTTATTAAACTTTTGTTTGATTTTTCTCCTGTTAATCTGTCTCATGTCAATTTAATTCTGAGACCAGCCAGAAGAACCTAGAGGGAAGAGGAAAATTTCTTTCTCCCCTACACTAACCAGGAAGCAGAAGAAAGATGGAGGTGAAATGAGCGGCTATAATTTCATAACTTTGGACATCAGGAAAAGACTATAGAGCCTTTTCAGAACAGGAAAAGATATTTCAATTGAAATATAGAAAAATATTTCTAAAGACCATTAATAAGAATAGAGTATGTGAAAACAGAGAGGCCCTAAATCCAGAACTGAAATGTTGATGGGCAAGAAGAGTCAAAGGATTTCACACATTCCAGAGTCAGTGTGCTTGACCTGACTTCCTGGATCTAGTGTTTCGTATATGCTTTGTCTCTTTTCCACCAACTCTAAATGTTCTTACAAATAAAAAATGATCAGTGGGAATAGCCATTAATATCCTTCAGAGGAAATCCTTAAATATCAATAAAGAATACTGTCAGGGAAGTTCTCCCAGAGCTGTAATTCTATGCTTAAAATTTAAAAGCTTTGTTATACTCCTATGCTATGGTAAAACTGTAACAGAAAATTTTTCTTAGAGCATCTATTACTTCACGCCTCCCTATTCTGTAAACCGTAGAGGCAGAGTACTTACCTCCAAAGTCACAGCTCTCAGCAGCTCTGGATTAGAATTACACAATGCTCCCACAAGCACCCCTCCAGCACTGAAAGCAGTCAGGGTTGTTAGACTTGGCTGAGAAAAGCCTTGGCCATGAAGTGTCTTAATGCAAGCCTCTAAGTCAGCAAGGCCATTGAGTTTTTTAGTTAGACGGCCATCAGCATGCCACTGGAGGCCTAACTCACCACCTCCCCTGAAATTAAAGGGCAAAAAAGTTTTAGTGGGGAAAAAATGTAAATGATGTATAGGTCAGGGTCAGCACACTACAGTCTGTGGGTTAAATCTCCCCAGAGGCCTGTTTTTGTATGGCCCTTGAGCTAAGAAGGATTTTTACATTTTTAAAGGTTGGGGAAAAAAATATCAACCAGGAATATGCAACAGAGACCATATGTGGCCTGCAAAGCCTAAAATGTTTACTATTTTGTTCTTCAGAGAAAAAGTTTGCCAACCCCTGACACAAACAATCAAAAATTGATTCAAGCCTGTGCTGAGACCTGGGCGTGCAGTGGGGGGCAGCAGGCGTGGGGCAGGCATGGGGGCCTCATGGGCCTGGCACTAATGTCTCGCTTTGTGCCTCCCCGACTCCATCCTCTTCCCTGGCGTGCCGGGCCCTGCCAACCCTGCAGGACAGCCCCGACTTCCTCTCAGAGGAGGACCGTGGACTTAAAGCAATAAATGTAGATCTTCAAAGTGATGCTGCTCTATAGGTGGACATTTTTGATGCTCTTAGTAAGAGAGAGAAAGTAAAATTCACTGTTCACACAAAGAGTTCATTGCCAAATTTTAAACAAAATGAGTCTTCTGTTGTTCAACAACACAAGGAACTTATCTGGCTTCATGATTCCTTCATTGAAAGTGAAGGCTACGCAGGTTACATTATCCCTCCAAGCACCACCAAGACCCGATTTTGATGCCTCAAGGGAAAAACTACAGAAACTTCGAGAAGGGTCTATGACAAAGGAAGAATTCACAAAGATGAAACAGGAGCTGGAAGCTGAGTATATTTGGCAATATTCAAGAAGACCGGGGTGGGAGGGAGGGAGACGCAAGAGGGAAGAGAGATGGGAACATATGCATATGTATAACTGATTCACTTTGTTATAAAGCAAACATTGTAAAGCAATTATACCCCAATAAAGATGTTAAAAAAAAAAAAAAGAAGACCGTTGCAGTGCATGAAGTGTTCCTGTGTTGTGTGGCAGCACACCCCATTTTGAGGAAAGATTTAAATTTCTATGTCTTCCTGGAATATAATCAACATTTGACTGTGCGAGGACAAAATAAAAAAGAGAAACTTGAAGATTTCTTTAAAAATGTGGTTAAATCAGCAGATGAAGTAGTTGTTTCTTGAGTAAAGGATGTAGATGATTTCTTTGAGCATGAACGAACATTCCTTTTAGAATATCATAACCGAGTTAAGGATGCATCTGCTAAATCTGATAGGATGATGAGATCCCACAAAAGTGCTGCAGATGATTACAATAGAATTGGTTCTTCATTATATGCTTTAGGAACTCAGGTTTCTACATATATATGCAAGTTTTTCTTAAAGGTTCAGAACTGTTTGATAAAACAAGAAAAAGTGTCAGCTGATGAGGACCTCAAACTTTCTGACCTTTTAAAATATTACTTAAGAGAATCTCAAGCTGCTAAGGATCTCCTCTATCTAAGATCTAGGTCACCACTGGATTATGAAAATGGTAATAAAGCACTGGATAAAGCAAGAGTGAAAAATAAAGGTGTTCTGTAGGATGAAACGTCCCAACAATTATGCCGTCAGAAATTTGAAAAAATATCTGTATCTGTAAAACAAGAACGTAGAGATTTTAAGACAAGAAGAGTTGTTGCATTCAGAAAAAATGACTGGAACTGGCAGAGTCAGAACTGAAACATGCAAAGGTAGTGTCATACTAAAGATTTAATAATTTAAGTGACATAATTTAGTAATGAGTCAGTTATGAAACCTTATTCTAGTTTTAAAAATAGAGAATCTTAGAAATGAGAGGGATTTTAAAGATCATCTAATTTAAACAATAATATCTATTATAATAAATCTAATGGTTAGCTTTGCAAGACTCTAGTACCTAATATGGAAAAACAGTATCATTTTTTGACTAGTTGTTAAATAAATCTTCCTTAAAAAAAAAAACAAAACTGACTCAACAAATATGCTTTGAGTGCCTGCTTTCTGTTTACCAGACATTGTGCTAAATGCAGGCCTTAAAAATATAAAAAAGTTGGGCTTCCCTGGTGGCACAGTGGTTGAGAGTCCGCCTGCCGATGCAGGGGACACAGGTTCGTGCCCCGGTCCGGTAAGACCCCACATGCTGCGGAGCGGCTGGGCCCGTAAGCCGTGGCTGCTGGGCCTGCGCGTGCGGAGCCTGTGCTCCACAACGGGAGAGGCCACAACAGTGAGAGGCCCGCGTACCGCAAAAAAAAAAAAAAAAAAATATATATATATATATAAAAAAGTAGAATCCTCTGTCCTGGAGGTCATAATTTTGCGGGGAAAGAGAACAGCTACCAAGCAATGTGGTTGCTGCTGTAACAGAACCAGAACCAGAGGAGAGAACATCCACCTGTCAGGTTAGGGGTATATACAGGAGTCAGGAACATGAATGCTTTAAGGAGGTGATATCTAAGCTGAGTCTTGAAGGAAGAATGTGAGTTCCCACTAGGGCAAAGAAAGGGAAGGCATTAAGACACAGCATGTGCAAAGGCACAGAGGGGAAAGACGTTGTCATTTGAAAGCATGTAGCGAGGCTGGATGTGTAGGATGTGCATGTCTGGAGAGCAGGACATGTTTGGGAAGTGATGACAGATGCCACTACAAAGATAAGCCAAATCATTAGGACGTTAAATACTGCACTGAGGTATTTGGATTTTATTGTGGAGATGGGGAAGTGGTAAAGAATTTTAAGCAGAAACATATAATACTAATTGTGTCCTGAAAACAACTTAAATAAAATGGAAGTTAGAGTGGAAAAAAGGAAGTCCAGCTTAAGAGGCTATTTTAGAAAAACCCAAACTCATGAGAATTAAATGGAAATAATAATGTAACTAAGAAAGTACAGTGCTTATTTTAGCTATTCTAAAAATCCTAAAAATCTGGTGTAAAATCCGAAAAATCTACCCTTTTGCTTTTGGGATTAATTAATATGTTACTGAATCAGGTTCTACTAGCACAGGTTTAAGAATACACAAATTCAACAATACAAATGAGAAAATAAACTTCTGCTCCCCAATATACTGTTATTTTGAACATGTGACAATACTCCAGTACTCATATTCCAGGCAAAATGTGTTGACTCACCGAACGTGACAATATGCTAATATCCATCCATCGTCCACCAACACCCGCCTTTCAGGCCTGAAATTCATTTTCAAATCCATTCCATAAGCTCCATATACATGTACCAGGAGAGGTTTCTTCTGCAAGTCTTCAGAATCCGTTTTATGGAAAATAGTCATTGGCACTAATTTTCCATCCTGGAAATGAAGATTTACTACGCAGGTAAAGAAGTCTTCTCAAACAGTTTTAACCCCAATTTTATGTGCTGCTTATTGATGTTGAGCACCAACTTCATTTAATTAAGACAAAAGAGTTACGGTCTCTAAAAATCCCTCAGGTCCTTAATTTTCAGCTACTCTGCTGACCTATAATAGTAACTAGAAAGGAACAGCAAGAGTCTGGCTTGAAAACAGTTTATGAAATGTAGCTTTTCAGGACAGTAAAGTGACTTTAAAGAGTTCTTCACTACTCAGTATAACAATTTTTTTTCTTTCACAACAAGCCAAAATACCTATCAAGGTTAGATATACTAGCACGGTATTCTTCCTATACCTCAGGTTACATATGGGCATTTCTCATCTTTGAATATATACAAATATGCTAATTAAAGAAGTTTTAACAACTCAATTTTCTGTACTCAATAGTCAGAATTCTCAATCATTAAAACCTGAAATCTCTTACTGACCTAACACCCACCCACATCCTCTTCAAAGACCTATTTATTTTTAAAATATTTAAAAGCAGTTTAAGTTTTATAAATTTTAACATCTAAATTATTTTTAGGGCAAATAACTATACTCCAGTGTAGTTCACACTCAACTGACTTCCTTTCATAGAAAAAGGGTAGAAAATGTTGGTTCTCACCCTGCTTACAGAAACTTAATGAAAAAGCACTAGTTTACATAAGGAAAATAATATAACCAGGCCACTCTCCCTATTTTTTTCATTCCCATTTTGAAAACTTCACTTTGGGGCACTAGAGTGTTATCAAATAAGGAAGAACTCTTCCTCTCATTATTATACCCGTTATGACAGTGTAACTGAATTTTCACCGTAACTGAATTTTCACTTCTCAGTAAGATTCATTCTTATAAAATGATGCAGATTTATTTCTATAAAATAATCTTGTTGTGTTCATCTTCCTGCCTCCTACCCAACTTCACTTAAACAAGCAGAGAAAAGTTTGTTGGTTGAAAACTTATGAAAAGGAAGAGGTAAGGATGGTAGCAAGTCCCGTGATGGCCTGAATCCCTGAGTTCATCAGCAGTGCAAAAATGCCTGTAGTTACAGCAGCTTCCCTTTAGCAGTTGTTTCCTTCTTCCCTAAGGTACGAAGAATCCCTTGGCTCTCCAAAAGCTTAGCTTCACTGTTCTTTCCATTTGGGGTAAAATTACAACATTTTGGGAGACTGGTATAAATCCCATCTTTGTAAAACAAAACAAAGCCTAAACATATGTATTTTGTTGACAAAACCCCCAAATCTGGAAGGTGATAATGTATTAACAATGATTATTTCTATGCAGTACAGCAAATAGGACTGAAAAGTAGTCATTTAAACTTTATACATTCTATATTTTTGTATTTGTTCTAATAAGCGTGTATTGCTTTTATAAAGTAGTTATTAAAGTAGTCTTTGCTTCAAGATATTTTTTAAAAAAATCAGTGAATTAAAGAAAAAATTCACAAGGAAAAAAGGCTTCTGTTTTGATTCATTCTTTGTCAGTACATGCAAAATTATCTGATGTATGATGTGCTAAGCTCTGAGAATTCCTTAAATTCAAGGCCATGGTTTATGTATTAATTTGTTCCTCACTTGCTCAAATTTTCTTCTCTACTTACTACCTCCCCAACCTCCCACTGCCCCCGGACAATCTTCCCTCTTTTACGCTAGACTTTGGCCATACTGTTCTCCTTTATACTTCTTGAATGCATTATTTCTCCCTCAATTCAGGGCCTCTGCACAAAACAGAACCCTCCTTCCCCTTTTCTAGCTTAACTCTTGATCATCTTACTTCCTCAGAGAAGCTTTCCCCAATTTCTCCAGACGAGGTAAGGTCCCTTTACCATATGTTTCCACTGTACTCAGTACGTCTTCCTTGGCAGCAATCAGTACATTAGTAATTACTTCTTCAAAATCTAGCATCTTCCCCACTAGATTTAACCTCCATGAGGGCATGGAGTCTATATTAGTCTAGTTCACTCTAGTCAATTGCTTACTACCTTCATAATTTTTGTCATAACTACACAGAAACTTGATTATTTTCTTCTTGAAATCAACTTTTAATATTCAAATATACACAACACATGAAACCAAGGGCTTGCTATGATGGTTATAAATTTTCGAATCCATGTTAAAATAAATGCATGAGTATCAGAAGTTAAAAAAAAAAGTCCATGTACCCCCTAAAATCATTTGGGTCTTGCTGTGGAGTGTGAGATCCACTTTACTAAACTGTGCTAATGTAATCCCAGCAATTGCACAATACTTGACAAATAGTATCCTTTCAACAGAGGCTGACAGTGGGGATCACAAAGACTTACCTCGCTTTTGGCTTCTATACGTAAAACACGACTAGTCTTTGTGATTGGGTCTTCATGTCCAGTTTCCTCAAACAGTTTACCTTCTGAAAACTTATACGTGTAATACTTAGGGGGGCGTATAGGAGAGCAAAGCTGAAAGGGGCAGTTCTTTGGGTCTGAATTTGTATCCATTATGAATCCACAGGCCCAAGGTGGGAGCTGAAGAAATAAAAGTTATTTTTACTCTTTATCTAGACACTAAGTATTATTAATTAAATTTCTGGGTCTGCTCCAAACAAGATGATGTGGACATCAAATTTATTTTTATCCATTATCACATAATGCCTCATCTAAGGGTTACTTCAGCACAACAAAAAATATTTCAAGTGAAAAACAAAACTCTATGCAAATGACCAATAAAATAAGGAAAAAGTACAGGAAAATGGTTTATCATGAATCTAGATTTACATGAAGTCTCCTTCAATAAAAAAGTTTATTTTGGGGGTATATAAACTTGGGCAATGAAACAGCAAAATGATTAAGAATAACAGCAAATCAAGTAGTAATTCCAGAACCCAGAAACATCTCCAAGATCTCTATTCTCTATTCTCATAGAACACGATATTTCTCACATGTTTTTAATAATTTATCCAGCAGCCCTTACTCTGCTGCCTGGACAGCAGCAGTGATGACAGTTATTATTCCAGGGCTACAAACTGGCTCAGCAGCACTAAAGCGTTTACAATTTGTTTTTAACTTTAGCTCCCAGGGTAACCATTGTGCAAAAGAAAACCTTTCCCGCACATCCACTCTGAGAGACTCACAGCTATTACGCTTAAGATTCTTAACTTTAAGAAAAAAGGAAAGAAATCAAAATTTATTCTCTCAGAGCAGCAGGGTCCAGCCTCAAACCTTCCACTAACATCCCTCTTACACCTTTTAAAGAACTCTAGTAAGCAGGCTGACAGTGTGTTAGAAATGGTACTGAGAGTCAGAACATTAAAAGAAAATTGCCTTTCTTTTCCTGAGTAATTGTAGAAAGAGCAAATTCCTTAGAAAATCAGAGGTCCTGGCACAGCAACGTCACTGGTGGGCACTATTTAGAAAGGGTAGGTGGGGGATGTATGCATAAAGAGTGTACCATTTAACCTGTAGAAACTATAGCCAAAGAGCTTATGTTCACAGAGCAAATTCCTTGCAATTAATCCAAAGAATCCACTGCCCTGAAACACCAGGGACATAAATTTGCAATGTCTCTCTAAAAGAGTTCCTAATTTATTCTCCTCAGATTGTGGGTTACTTTCAAGGATAATTTGTTTATTTAAATATAAGCCATAACTAGAAAGAAAAATGTAATCATGAAAGTTGGGAAATCTGGTAGCAAAAGTGAAACGAGTAAAAATTGAGACCTCAGTGGGAAGAAAAGGAAGAAGCATTGCTATTAACCTTGTAACACAGGCCTCAGATTGACGGCACAAGGCTCCTCAGCCCTCAGCGGTACAAGTTTTTCTCCCCTTTGGTGACACTTTAAAACATTTTCCATGTGACTCATGTAGTAAGTTTAGTTTTTTTGGTTTTTTTTAGTAAGCTTAGTTTCTGATTAAATGGTTCCAATAAATCAAAAAGTCTTTTGGGTGTATTTCTTAAACTAATGGGACCAAGGTTAAAGTTTTAATCATAACAAAAACTGTTCCATGGCTATGGACTTTTTAAAGTTTGTCCAGCTGATATAGAGGTATTAACTATCTCAAGGATATCTTCAGCCATACTTCCTATTGAGATAAGCCTGCAGTATCATCTATGTATATTAATGAACAGAGCCTGAGAAGAATTATAAGCTGGCCAGGTGATATGCCGATATTCCTTGAGATATTTGACAGAAACAGGTTTAGTTTAAGCATTCTACCAGCTAACCACAGTCATTTCATCAAAAGAATGATTAAGACATACATGCTGAAAGAAAATCAGCCCAAGCATGCAGGCTGCTCCAGATGAATTGATGTTAGCACAAAGCAAAACATTTCCTAATTTGCTTTAATTAAATATCATAACCAAATAATACATCATAACTAAAAACATCACCAGGAAATACTGATGACATGATGACCAAGGATATGAGGCAATATATTAAGGGCTTCACATTTTCTATTGCTGAGATTGAGTTTATAAAGCTCTTTTAGTCAAGTGCGCACTGGGCAGAGATGTTACATACAGAAATACTTTATAATCCACTCACAGTATGGCTTACAGATGTCCTTTGTATATAGCACTGTCTGTGCATATTAATCAGTGTTATCCAGTTCATAAAAAGGCTCTGATCTATAGAATTCTCTTTAACTAGCACCTGGTATATAATATAGTATTTGATTCCATGTGATGATGACTCAGAACATCATACTCATATCATAATAGGTACTACAGGTTGGGAAAGGTCAAGGAATAAAGAAATAGAGGATACAGAATAAATGAAAGACATGATGTTTGTGTTAATGGAAGTTAAAACAATGGAAACTGAGGCATATCTTAAAAATATAAAAAATATAAAAGGCCATATTTACTTAGAAATCACATCTTAGCAAAGTCTCATGACATTCCTAATTCTGAAAGAATTTTGTTATAATAAATGCATCGCTAGAAATTATATATTTTCTCCCATCCCTATTCCTATAGACTACAATAAGAACAGATGCTCTGCCAGTTTCTGGATTGAAGATGTCTGAATTTGGCATCAATTAGCAAGTGAAAAGACACACTTTTGAATTCAGTAGATGAAAGCAGTTAACAAAATTGCTGGAGTTAAAAATCACCATTTTTGTTTTAGGACATTTATACAGCCTTCTAAGGCACAAGACATTACATTTGATAATTTGATTTCATGAAGTAGATGGAAAATTTTGCTTGTTTTATTTAGGCCCTAGTTATTTCTTATTTATACCACTGTAACAATCTCAAAACTAACCTCTATGCCGCTTATCTCTTGATGCTTTGGTGTACTCTAACACAGCTGCCTGATAACCTCATGAAGTACAGCTTGACTCCTTAAATTATTCCCCTGTCCGCACACTTCACATGTTCCCCTCTTCATAATTTACGCATAAATTCACCACCTTGACAGTCAAAGAATGTCAAATCATAGCTTCATCACCTAGAAATTTATTCTGCTTCAATAAAAATGAATTATTAGCAGTTTCCTGAACATTTTCTGAACTTCTCCAGCTTAGAGCTTCATTTGATGGACTTTCTCAGCCTAGAATACCATTCCCTTCCCCACCCATCAAAATCCTATCTATCCTCTTTGGTTTATCTCAAATTCTACTTCTCCTCAAAGCTTTCCTGGGCCCTCTTCCTTTCCTTTGGACCTCACAGCACATTTTATGTTTCTGATCCCACTTATTTAAACCCATCTTATACTTGATCTTTGTGTACTAGTCTAATCTCATGATAAACTGTATTCTCCTTAAGGCCTGATATTTTGTCCTACTATCGTTCCATTCCAGAGCGCCCAATACAGTACTTTGCACACAGAAATTTGATAAACATCCAGTGAATTTACTGGAATTGCATTTTAACAAAAATTGTGATAGTAGTACAGATGGGGAGGTACAAGTGGTCTGTTTGCTGGTCACACAACTCCATATCAAGCAAAACAGAGGGCTCTCTTCTTCTCTTCAGTGCATGCTATCTAAAGTCACATATTAATGCTGCCTTAAAACTGGGCAGTAACGTTACCGTTCACCAGTTTTAGCAATAAAATTGGCAAAGAGATGATGAAGACATGAGAATGCAGTGGCAGAAACATAGTAGCAGAAACACAGTGGGTATGACTACTATCCCCACTGGGGGTGTGGGATGGGAACAGGAGGCAGTGGTTAGGCACCAGCTGCCAAGTTGGCCTCAGTTATTACTATATCTAAAGTTGTAGAGACATGTGATATAGAGATAAGCAGAAAAAGAAATATAATGGCACTTTACCTCTGAAATTCATGCTATAAGACAGTATTTTTAAGTAAAAGTACACAAAATGGAAGGTCCTCTAAGTAATTCTAAAACAAACCTCCTAAACCTGATAAAGACCCAATATGCTAAATTCCATTTAAATTAATTTCCTTTTAAGAAAAAGTATATTGGTATTATTCAAAATTTGATGTTCTGTTAATAAACTGCATATATTTTGACTAATGTATTATCTTTCGAAAATTAAACATACCTTTAGAGACCGAACTGAATCGTCAGCCAGACCAATCACATTAACATAAAGTAGATTGCTATGCTTCAGGAACAGAACACAGTGATCCTTAAACATGTCCAGGTCTACAACTTTGGTATTTCTCTTCATTGTGAAAAATAAATCCCAATTCATAATAGCAGGGGTATCAGCAGCTGTTCTCATTAGCTGTGTGGAACAAAATTAGAAGAGATCTAGGTACCAGAACATGATTACTACTGCATCCAGAAATGAAACCACTGAAAACCAGACCATACTCATCTTCACTGTTTTATGAAGAGCTGAAGGAACTAACTCTGCATCAGGGCTGAAGTGTGAACATCACCGTATGAATGAGCCCAGGCTAGGCTGCTGGGTGGGTATAGCCCAGTGCTTAGCTGACTGGTCAACCAAGGGACATTTGAGTGAGAGTACTGACAGCTAGTTGACTGTGGAACTATCAATGAGCCTAGCCAAAACCAGTAAAAGAACTGCCTGAGATCAATCCAAACTGCTGACTCACAAAATCATAAGCTTATAAAAGTTTTTTAAGCCACTAAGTTTGGCTTTGATAACTAATATATTCAGGATAGAGTATGTTTTCATTTACTAACCTTTTTAGGTACAATTAAAATATGAAGAGGTATTAGCTCTAAGGGAAGAGAAAGGGGATTGGTTCTACATAGGAAGATAGCATTAGTTTTTACAATACCCAAAGCTTACAAAACAATAAACTTTTAGAGCAAGAAATGTTGATGTTAGTGTAACACTCCCTAAGAGCCTAAATGGGGACCAGGAGGATACAGGATTTACCTTGAATTCTGTAGGCTCGCCAACATTAGTGAGAATGTATAATTCATCATCTCTGTGTTCTACGTAGTAAAGGACCCCGTGTATTCGCTTCTGGATAAGTACTGGTGGGTCCCAAGGGCTCATGCCATCTATCAACCACACCTCTGAAGTGGTCTTGTTCATAATATTCATGGTGAGAAAACGACTGTCTTTTGTAAGATAAAGGAAAACAAAAAAGCTGCACAGAAGAAAGAGGGAGAGAGAGATACGAAAACCCAATAAATTTCAAATGCAGGCTATCTTGTTAATGACAATATCTCACTGGTGTTCAGTATATATATTAATTTATAATGCAGACAGAAAATAAAAACTCCTTAGTGAATACTGCTTATAAAAACTGGCTATTATATCTCTCATTTCCTCCCCAAAGGCATTCAAAATAATTTTTCTCTAACATTTTATTATAAAAAATTTTCAAACATACAGTAAAGATGAAAGAAATGTAAGGTAAATACCGATATACCTACCACTAAGATTCAATCATGGCTAACATTTTGTTATATTGTCTTTATCACATATCTATCAATCCATCTTTTTTTAAAAAATGCATTTCAAGGTAAACTACAGACATCATCTAACTCTCAATCACATTAATAGATTATAGGACTTTTTCCTGAGAAGAGGAAATAAACTTCCTAGAGGAGATATGTAACTGTAGGGAAGAAAAGGGACACAGAGTTTCCTTTGTTTTTCTTCTCTGTGCATGTTGGATATCCTTTTTCCTACTCTCCTAGTTTTTACAACAAAACAAACAATAGGAAGAAAAACCCTCACAATCTCACTAACCTAACACATTTTTTAAATTAACTATTTTAATTTTTCGATTTTTCCTTTTAAGGCTTAATTGTATTTTATACATGTCTTTTTTTTGTGTGTGTGGTACGCGGGCCTCTCACTGCTGTGGCCTCTCCCGTTGCGGAGCACAGGCTCCGGATGCGCAGGCTCAGTGGCCATGGCTCATGGGCCCAGCCGCTCTGCGGCACGTGGGATCCTCCCGGACCAGGGCACGAACCTGTGTCCCCTGCATCGGCAGGCGGACTCCCAACCACTGCGCCACCAGGGAAGTCCTATACATGTCTTTAAATAGATGTAGTTATTTAAAAAATATAGATGCAATTCTGGCTTCTGCATTTAGGATTTTTTTTTTTTTTTTTTTAATTGGCTGCGCGGTGCGGCACATGGGATCTCAGTTCCCCAACCAGGGATAGAACCTGCGCCTGCTGCAGTGGAAGTGCAGAGTCTTAAGCACTGGACTGCCAGGGAAGTCCCTGCATTTCTTCTTACACATATTATCATCTTCCCCTACATTAGTTATACAGTCTGTGATCATTATTTTTAATGGCTACATAATATTCTATCGAGTTGAATTATCATAATTCTTAAAAATGTAGATTTTAATGTTTCATTGTAATAAATATAAAAGGGAATATGTCATGAAGACACTTTCCCTCTCCCTAACTTAAAAAATAAATTAATTTGGTTGTGCTGGGTCTTCTTAGTTGTGGCTGGTGGGCTCCTTAGTTGCGGCCGGTGGGCTCCTTAGTTGCGGCCGGTGGGCTCCTTAGTTGCGACTCACTGGCTCCTTTAGTTGTGGCATGTGTGCTCCCTAGTTGCAGCCAGTGGGTTCCCTAGATGCAGCAGGCAGGCTCCTCAGCTGAGGCTTGCCGCCTCCTTAGTTGTGGCATGAGAACTCCCATCTGTGGCATGCATGCGGGACCTAGCTCCCCACCCAGGGAACGAACCTGGGCCCTCTGCATTGGGAGTGCAGAGTCTTAACCACTGCACCACCAGGGAAGTCCCTCTTTCCAACTTTTATAGTTATTTCCTTAGGATAAATTCTTAGTAACAGAAATACTGTTTTAATGATTAAGTATTTTTATGACTCTTGATCAATATAATCAAATACTATCCCAAGAGCATTACACTAATTCATATTGACACACTGGATGCCTTTAAATATTCTACCTACATGTTTCCTTATTACAAAAGTAATTCATACTGAAAATACTAAAGAATATAAAGAAGGACGATAACCCTGAATTCCACTCCCCAGAGATAAGCATTTTGGTAAAATTCCTTTTGTACTGGATTACATTACCATGTTTGTCAATTTTATTTCTTTGCAGTGTGTCCATTTTAAACTTGGTGATGTAGTTTACATTATTGGTCTATAACCATCTCTTTATAAATTAAGGACATTAACTTGTCCTTTTGGTTGAAAATACTTTCCCCCATTTTGTCATATGGATTTTTTTTTCATCTTTATTGGAGTATAATTGCTTTACAATGGTGTGTTAGTTTCTGCTTCATAACAAAGTGAATCAGTCACACACACATATGTGTCATATGGATTTTAATTTATTTGCTTACAATAGTTTCTGACATAAGAGTCTAATATTTTAGATAATCAAGAATATTGGTACTAACCCTTGTAATTTCTTCTATTGATTTTATGCTCTGGAAATATTTCAACCAAGCTGAGTGAAATACATATATTTTCACCTAGGGTTTTTTTTTTTTTTTGATGGTTTTATTTTTACCAATAGATCCTTTAAATCTTTTAGTAATGTACGCTAATGTACAAAGCGATGAAAATTATTTTCGTCCAAATATTCAATATTCACATTCTAGGGTCTGTTTTAGGGTTATCCTGGTCTCTTTTATTGGTCTGTCAATTTGTATTATTTTAACTGTTGTGCCTTCACATGTTTTAATATATTGTTGTAAGGCAGATCCCCTGCCCTATCTTACTCTTTATTTTCAACACTTCTTTTGCTACTTTTATCTACTTATTTATGTGTAATGATGACACAGGTAATCAAAAGATAAATTACTCAGTCAATTATCTGGCAGACATGTGGTTACAGGGAAGTGAGAACACAAGCATCTCTGTAAGTAACAGTTTTCTTAGAAAGAGAAGTAAAGTTGTGGTAACTACCAAGCAAAAACCTACAGTAGATACACAAAATATAAAGAGAAGGGAATCAAACTATATAGCACCATGGAAAATAATCAATTCATTAAGGAAGACAGTAGGAAAGGAAGAACTGGGAACTATTGATCCAAAGCAGCTAGAAAACATGAAAAAGATGGCATTAGTAAGTCTTTAGCTGTTATAAATTACTCTAAATGTAAATGAATTAAATTCTCCAATCAAAAGGCAAGAAGTGGCTAAGCAGATAAAAAAAGAACTAACTATATGCTGCCTACAGTAAGAGATTCATTTCAGTTTCATGGACATACATAGGGTCAAAATAAAGAAAAAGACATTCCACACAAGTAGAAACCAAGAGGGAGCAAGGGTAGCTATACTTGTATCAGACAAAATAGACCTTAACTCAAAAGCTCTAACAAGAGATAAAGAAGGCCACTACATAATGACAAAGGTGTCAATTCGTCAAGAAGATTTATAACAAGCATAAATATATATGCACTCGACATCAGAACCCTCAAATATATTAAGCAAATATTAACAGATCTGAAAGGAAAATAGACAACATAATAATAGTAGGGGACTTTAGTAGCCCACTTTCAACAATGGATAGATCATCCAGGCAGAAAATCAGTAAGGAAACCTTGGACGTGAACTATACTTTAGAACAAATGGATCTAACAAGACATATACAGAACATTCTGTCCAACAGCAAAAAAAAAATAAAAATACCATTCTTCTCAAGTGGACCTGGAACATTCTCCAGGACAGATTATGTGTTAGGTCACAAAATAAGTCTTAACAGGAAAAAAACTGGAAAATTCACAAATATATGGAAATTAAACAATACACTCCTAAACAACCAAAGGGTCAAAGAAGAAATCAAAAGGGAAATAAAAAAAAAAAACCTTGAAGTAAATGAAAATGGAAATACCACACACCAAAACCTAACGGATGCAGCAAAATCAGTTCTAATAGAGGCATTTATAGCAATAAACACTTACATTAAGAAAAAAGAAAAATCTCAAACGAACTTCACACCTCAAGAAACTAGAAAAAGAAATAATTTTGGCTAACCTTACTTGTGAGAGCAGAATACTGAAACCTGGGGATCAAAGCAAACACAGTAAAAAAAACAGCTCAGTCTCAGAAGTTCTACGAAGACCTTTATTACATTTTCTCTACTGGTATGCTGCTTTTCCCTCTTGGTCCTTCCCTTTGGATTAGGGCTGTTAAGTACAGTTGACCCTTGAACAACATGGATTTGAACTGGTGGGGTCCACTTATACACAGATTTTTCTCAATAAATACATACCACACTACCACACCATCTGCGGTTGGTTGAATACTCTGATATGGAACAGTGGTTAAAGAGAATACTCTGATATGAAACAGTGGATAAACAGTGAATACTCTGATATGGAACAGTGGATAAAGATATGGAACAGTGGATAAAGAGGGTCAACCGTAAAGTTACAGGTGGATTTTCAACCACACGGGAGTCAGTGCTCCTAACCCCCAGTTGTTCAAGGGTCAACTGTATTCAGAATCGACAAACTAATCTGTGCTTTAGAGATCAGATGCCAAACTAGGTTTAAACATACTTAATTATGGTTAATTCTTTTTGGGGTAGAAAAAGCATACTAGAAGCCAAAAATCAAGAATCTTAAATGTATGTATAATTCAATCTTAGACCTTAGGATAGTAACAACATATGGCAATTAAGTACCTTATTCAAGGGTATGACTCACAGGGTCAATTTTGAGTTTTATTCACAAGATGTGAAATGGTTCACAATCATAAGTCATTGATACAATGTAATAAATTACTAGCTTAAACTGTCATCTCCAAAAGATATCCTTGACAAATGACACATAAAGTAGTGGATCGTATGAATAGCTGGTTCTAGTAAATTCTCATTAAAACAATCATCATCAGAAAAAAGCAATGACAGCATTACTGAACCCAGAATGTTAGTTCTATGGGTTGGAATAATACAATTTCTCCAGACCTCAAGTTCTTTATATAAACTGGGTGTTGTATAAGATTTTCTTTAAGGTCCTTGTCAGCTCTGAGATTTTATTAAGTGAAGGGTTACTTTTCTTGTTTGGGTATCAATTTTACTGTCATAGATTTGGTGTTAAAGATAATTTTTCTCTCTTGCAAAATCTGTTCAGACATTGTCCAAATTATACTGTAAGAGGTGACAGGACCCTGGTGTTAAGAAATAATTTATCATAAATCATTTGGAAAAGTGTATCTGGCTAAGAGTTAAGGGATTTTGCCAGATAAATTTATTATCATTTCCTCCCAAGCATGGGTAAGTGGTAATATGAGGCATAAGTCCTGAAGCAAAAAGAATTAGCTTTAAGGAGGAATTACCAAAGTATTGGGGAAAGTAAAATTTAAAGACCAATGTATATCATGGTTCAAAGCAAGCAATTTAAAATTCAGGTAACCTATATGAAATAAATGGTGAATTCTGTGTAACTGGCACCATGGTTATTCTAGTTACGACTTACAAGAGATTGATAATTGCTGCATGGAAACCATATTAAATGTTTAATTAACAACTCCTCTCATGTGTCAGTACAGAAAGAATGTTAGTGACTCAGCATTTGAATCTAATGATATATTTGTGTTCACTCTGAAGTTTGAATGTAACTAATTTCCAATTTTGAATCTAAACCACTTATAAAAGAATGCTTATGCTCCTCTTAGCCTTATTATATCTGATTCCAGCCAAAATCAATGTTTTAAGTCAACCAAAAGCAGCACTTTAGATAACTAGAGAAATATTCTGAAGAAAAAGACTTAATTGCATTGTTTTAGTACCTTGGGTCTTTTTCTGTGTAAAAACGTTCATTACGCCTGTTATCACCAAAAGTGGCTCGATATACATCATGACAGCGAAGGTTCCTCTGGAAGGTGTAGAATAAAACATCTTCATCTTCTTCATCCTTTACCCATTCTAAAAGAAAATAATTAAAGAATTATATATATCCACCTATTTACAGTTTAAAAAAAAAAAGGCACAGTGCATTCTAATTTTGAGTGCCAAATAGAAGAGATGTGCCAAGTTTATCCCTGGAAATCTAAATCTAACATAGGTTTGACTATGTCTAACCCCGTTATTTATAAGCCAGAGATATTTCCAGAGAATAAGATACTACTACATCAATTCTAAGTTTTCAAGTAGTTATTAGTCTCAGGGTACTCAAGTTTCTAAATAAGAGATGAATATTCAATATTTAAGAAAGACTTTGGTAAAGTCACATTTGCTTTCAGGAGATGAATTATGTTTAGATCTACAACCTCTAAATTTGAGGAAATTTTGGACCATTTTCTCTCATGCCTAAATGTTTTCTGCCTGTTTTCAAGCCACAGGATATCTCAAACTACCAAATATGGTGTTTTCTAGATCTTACCAGAGGCTGTCAATGAAAGTTTTCACACAATTACATCATGACTGCCACCTGGCTGACAGTGACTGTAAGACATTATTGTATAGTATGCATTCTGATTTTAGAGAGGTTAAAATCTACAAGAGGTATGCCTTAGAATCAATTAGATACGGTATAATTTCTATTCACTGCAAAAGCATTTAGTTATTAAACAATGGGGACATTTATGGCAGAAAATAAAAAGGGAGGATAAAGTATAAACATATATATCACTCAGTGATAAATGATAAAATTTAAAGTTGGTTCTATTGGTAAAAATATCGTAGCTTTTATGGAATAAGTTAGTTCATCGTGTTCCAGAGTTCCTTGGTAGTGACCCTGGGCAATGTGCTATAATGGCTTAACAAGATGATGTGAAATGAAAAAATCATACCCAAGCTTAAAGTTGAATAAAATATTAAGAGACAATTTATGTGAAAATGTACTCTAAATAATAGCAAAGAATTACTGATATATTAACATATACTGTACAACCTGGACTCCGATTACAATACTTTTAAAAACATGAACATGAATTTGGATATTTAACTAAAGAAGGGAAGGTCTCCTGAATAAGAGGCACAGAGGAAGGTATGGAGTCCACAGGGATAAACAGGTCAGGCATTCATCCTCTCATTCACTCACGTGAGCAAGTAAAAATGTTTGCAAAGTGTGGACAATCCTCTTTACTGTTGCCTTTTCAATGTAGAAGACTGTTTTGGCTGGTGGCTTACCAAAACTGGACACATTTGGGAAAGAAGCTTCCATTACAGGTTGATCACTGAGCTTCACAACTACACAGGTAGATGCTTCAGAATCTTCAGTTCTTATCTTGGCAGCTACATATTTTTCATCAGGAGCAACTCTGATACAATCAATGAAGGGTTGCTCTAATTTAAGTTCCTCCAAATTGAACAAAACTTCATAATTATCATTGTCTGCTGCATAAAGAAAAGGATAAAGGAGATAATTCCACAAAATATACTTCAAAAAATTTTAAATGGTATTTCAATGTTTTAAACTAGCATTCCGCTTCTGTAAGAGGCTACGTTTTGGCATCTTTGAACACTGACAGCAGTTTGATGTGTACAGAAAATGGCATTAGTATTTAATACTACCCTACGTTATTCAATATTATTCAATGCATCAACCTACGTGATGTTACTTGATAGTTATAGTCTAATATTTGTAGACCATATAGAACCTAGAAAAGTAAGAAAACGTTAAGTGACCCTGAATAGTCTATATAGTGCCTAGCACAGTATCCAGGATTTGGTAGATGCTCAAAAAATGCTGGTTCCCACCTCCATTCTCTCTGCCAGAGCTTTTGAATGTAGCTGTTAATTATATCTTAGGTAAACCCAGAAATTAAAAAACTACTCATTTAAAAAAAGAGAAAAAAATCAGAAATTGAAAACAGATATTTTCTATACCTTTGAAAAATCAATACCAAATTTCCAATGAAAAATGTGAAACCTGAAAAATCAGATATTTCTTAAAAGGAAAAACTCTTTTGTACCTTCTTCATCTTTGGAACGAACCAAACAGCAGCCCTCTTGATAATAAACAAAACCACCATGTTTAATCTGACAATGAAAAGAAACAAATGGTTTATTTAATTACAATTTATTCAATAATTTAAAAACAATTTAAGTAATTGTTCAGTGATCTGACTAGTCAAAATGAAGAAATGAGATCTTTTATAAGCAAACGTGTTACAGTCTATGAACGAACATATAAAAAATACAAAATGAATCACTTTTTACAATATAGTGATTAAAATATGGTTTTCATATGTTTACAATCAATCACTGGAGGAGTTTCTAATACATAAATGTAAGAGGCAACAAAGAGAAGGCATTAATGAAACCTACGTCAGTTATGACTGTACAAACCACTTTAGCTTTACTTCTGGAACATCTGACAACAGAGATCAAGTGGCATCTTTAAGATAATCCAAAATGATGCAGATGTGGAAACTGTGACTTAGACTAGTCTGAAAACCCAGTCAATTACTTTCTGAGAGTCTTTCCTTTAAAATATGCTGTCACTGCCAATTGTCCACGGTTTGATCTGATTTTACACAAAGCATCTCACCCTCTGTGAGGGTGATAGATAGAGACAATTTAAGATTGAAAGACTATTACCAATATATGAATCATGCTCTTGTCTAATTCCTACATATTAAATGCAACTGATTGATATGATTTCAGGTAACTTAAGACAATTACTACTTGCTAGTTAGTGGCATAATCTGAATCTGGAATTCCTCATCCTTGACCTATTGCTATTTCCATTTTAGTACGTATGTAATTTTCATTCATAAGCTGTGGTTCTGTTTTCCAATCTTACCGAAAAATTTTCAACATGCATGTTCAATCTGTTTCAACTGAATATTTATGACTGTGGTAAACACAAAACAGTCAAGCAAATACTTGGATTTCATGGTATTGTACTATTTAAAGTGAATTTTCTTTTATTAAAAAAAGTACAGATAGAACAATCAAATAATTTTCAAGTAATAAAACATTATGAGTTAGTTTCATTTGAACTTCTCCTTGGGAGTATTTAAAAAATTTAAAAACAGAATTGGTTTTTTCCAAAAACCAGAATTAACATTATATGCTTGGAAATTCATCTTGGCTTTGATCTTTATAATTTATTTAAAGGACCATACTCAGCTTACTCTTTGTTCTTTAAGTTTTTCAGCATATTTTAAAGGCCAAAAGCAGTGTAATTTTGATGTGGGATTATGTTTATAAATCACAAGGTATTTTATTTGTATCCTGACTGGTAATATCAGATTTAAAAAAAAAGATATGATATCCTACCTCTGCATTGATGATTTCGTATTCTTCTTGTGGCTGTGTTTCTAATTTTGTTCTCACTTTTTCAAATGCATCCATGTTTTCTGAGAGGGATTTTTTGTTTTCTTGTTTAATAGGCAAAAATTCCTGGAAAAAGTTTTATCAGTATGATCATAATATTTCAACTAGGGAGAAAACCTTTGCTTTTTAAAGGTAATTCTTATTTCCTTTTCATTCAAGTACTACAACGTTAGGTCTATACCTATGAAATAATATGCATTTCACAGATCTTAAATGTTTCATAAGCTCAATACATTATTTCCTCTTTTTCATTTAAAAATGTAAACAAGTAAGGTGGATACTTGATGACTATACTATTAATTCAAATGGCTAAGTCCTTAAGATGCAGTAGTACTAAGAAGCGCTGGAAAGTCTTCAGAAATATTATGAGAAAGCAGTAAAGGAAATCCTATGAACGTTTACATATTTAATAGCCAGGTGTGAGAAGTAAAAGTCTACTGAGTTTTATAAAGTACTGAAATACCTCCTAAAAAGGGGAAAATGTCAAAGGGAGAGGAAGACATTATCATTATTAATAAATGTTCACTATTATTTTATTCACAGCAAGAGTTATGACAAAAAGTTTTTCGTACTTTATATCTTCATTAGCCATAATTTTTCTTCTCATGGAGATAAGGAATCCTCCGCATAGAACGGTTTAATAGCTCAAAAGGCAAATTAATGCTTTATAAAACAGAGCTTCTCTTTGAGGTTAAAAAAATATATATATACTCATCTTCAAAAAGGAAAAATAATGGAAAATTAACAAGTAGAGATATAGGTGAAAGCTAAAATAAAGCACTCAGTGTCTTATTAGGAGTATCTAATAAGCTAACAGCTTAAGTAAGTTGATCTCTGGTGAGCATATAAATATCATATGAATTATTAAAATTTGGATAAGGCAAAACCTTAGTTGTCAAATTAAAAAAAGGGTTGAGGGGCTTCCCTGGTGGCGCAGCGGTTGAGAGTCTGCCTGCCAATGCAGGGGACACGGGTTCGTGCCTCGGTCCGGGAAGATCCCACATGCCACGGAGTGCTAGGCTCGTGAGCCATGGCTGCTGAGCCTGCGTGTCCGGAGCCTGTGCTCCGCAACGGGAGAGCCCGCGTGAGAGGCCTCTCAACAGTGAGAGGCCCGCGTACCGCAAAAAGAAGAAAAATAAATAAATAAAGGGTTGAATAATTCAACACTCCACAGGTTTCCCTTGCTTAACGAAAATAATTCTAGCCAAGATTTTAAATGTTAGCTTTCTGCCAAAGATGACAACTGTAGTGATTTGTGCCAGAAAGAGCACTAAGCCTTTGGTTAGGACCTGCAACAGCTGGTAAATATTTATTGCATAAGGGTATCCATGATACTTTACCAACAGTGTAGAGAATGTAAGCTATAAATACAGTTTATATCACAAGGAGTTTACAGTCTAAAATTAAACACAAGAATAAAACAGAAAAATCACCAAAGCAAATTAAATGAAAAAATAATCATTCACAAAGTTTTTTAGAGTTTTTGAGATGCTTTATGATTTGGACTAGATTCACATTACCAACAATGGCTATTACAGTAGTCTAAATCATTCAGTCTCTACTTCAATAATAAAATTAATATGATTAATGATTTGAAATTCAAATTCTAAAGGCTCATTTTTTTTTTTAGTATTTCTACAAAATCTAGTGTTAACCTTTAGTGAGGCAAAATATCTATACCAATAATTTCCTATTATCAACCAAGGCACAAATCAGATCGCTAGAAATCTATCTTGAAACTAGAACTTAGTGGTAGAAGCTACCTTTTCATATCCAGATATATGCTTATCTATTCTGTTAATTCCTATTAGAACTTTTGAAGTACAGTCAGGATGGCTATGAAGAGAGTATCTCTTTCTACTACCCTGCAGCTCCTAGCACATTGTAGGTGAGGAGCTGGGCTCTGTGGTACGTGGGCCTCTCACCGTTGTGGCCTCTCCCGTTGCGGAGCACAGGCTCCGGACACGCAGGCTCAGCGGCCATGGCTCATGGGCCTAGCCGTTCCGCGGCATGTGGGATCTTCCCGGACCGGGGCACGAACCCGTGTCCCCTGCATTGGCAGGCGGACTCTCAACCACTGCGCCACCAGGGAAGCCCGGCTCTGCCACTTTTAAACACCCATTCTTATTGAGAGCCATGGCCAATGCCAGGCTAAGGCAACAGGGCTGGGCCCAATATCTATCCTCCTTAACTTATTTTACACTCTTGATTAACCTTTTTCTGTGTCACAAATCCAAATAAACTGAGCTTACGTGAACCAAAATAACCCTGAAAGCAATAGGATTTTTAATTGCCTTAATAAAATGGAAGTAGAATTCGAGAGTTTTGTAAGTAATTCCTCAAAAGGAATTACTTCCAGGGAAACTGAGATTTTATATAATAATCATAAAGTACTCCAAATTGGTTTTGGTTTAAGTTCTGTCGCCAAGAATACCCACTGGGTGTTTTAAGCTTTCATTTCAATGCCAGCTAGCATTACCATCAGGGTATGCAGCTAAACCTATCCATTTTAGCCAAGTATCTTAATGCAGGGGTTCCCAACCTCTGGGCTGCGAACTGGTACCTGTCTGTGGCCTGCTAGGAAGTGGGCCACACAGCCGGAGGTGAGCGACAGGCGAGCGAGCAAAGCTTCATCTGCTGCTCCCCATCGCTCGCATTAGCACCTGAACCATCCCCCCATCCCCCGTCCATGCAAAAACTGTCTTCCACAAAACTGGTCCCTGGTGCCAAAAAGATTGGGGAACACTGTCTTAATACATGAATAGTCTATTGGTTTTAAGGGAATATACTACCTAAAGGAGCTGAGGTGAGGAGAGCTTTAAATTTTAAGAAAGTTACATGTACAGTATCACTCAATTAGTGGAAAAAAGAAGCATTCCTTCCCACCTTCTGGGTGGCCCACCACAAAACCATTTTACAACGGAAACTCATAAGACAAGAGAATGGAATATGTAAACTTCACATTTTATTAATTTATTTTTTGGCTACACTACGTGGCATGCAGGATCTTAGTTCCCCAACCAGGGATCAAACCTGTGCCCCCTACAGTGGAGGCATGGAGTCAACCACTGGACTGCCAGGAAAGTCTCTGTAAACTTTATTACAGCAAATAATAATGAACTCTAAAAACAGAAAATAGCACAACAGAAGAACAGTGGGCAGCTTTTAGTCAAGATGGTGCCATTAATTAAAGGCTCATTCCAAGTCTGGGGCAGGGAGAGTAAAAAGTAGGCTTAGGTCATTTGTGTCAGAAAGCAAGAAGTGTTCAAAGGTTCATGGAGATGTGTCAAAAGAACACAAAGGCCAGTTTAAAGGGGTTCCTACTAGCCACATCTGGGACAGTTTGAGCATCAAAAACAATAATGACTGTAATTGATTATAATAAACTGAAAAAAATAAAAACAACAATTTAAAAAGAAGCAAAAAACAAAACAGACACCTAACTAAAATAAAAAAAATAAAAAGAGGGTACAAAAATAGGGGGAAACTCTTCTTAACAGAATACTCCCACCTAATAAATGTAGAAAGAATAACAGAAATAGAAAATCATTAGCAACCCCCAGTGAAACAAATGATTAGGGTAAAGATCATCCTTGGTTATTAAACTCATTAGATGAAATGATGTCAGGTAATAAAATATTTGCACAAAGTATTACCTTAAGTCTACTTAGTAACTGCAAAGGGAATAATGGCCTGTTAACAATGGAGAGAACTAGCAGTTATCACCTTAACTGAAATTGTCAAGCTTAGCACCATTAATAATGGGACAAGCTGAGATTACGTGTCTTCCTGAAATAATGTTAATATGAGACATTTCAATTTAAGACAGAAAAAAGAGAAGAGTAAACCTAAAGGAACTAGAAGAAAGGAAATAAAATTAATTTGTTTCAATTAAGTTGATACAGTAACTAACGAGAAGATCAACAAAATAAAAAAGTTGGTTCTTTTAAAAAATGTACTAAGGGGCTTCCCTGGTGGCACAGTGGTTGAAGAGTCCGCCTGCTGATGCAGGGGACGTGGGTTCGTGCCCCGGTCCGGGAGGATCCCACATGCTGCGGAGCGGCTGGGCCTGTGAGCCATGGCTGCTGAGCCTGTGCGTCCGGAGCCTGTGCTCCGCAACAGGAGAGGCCACAACAGTGAGAGGCCTGTGTATCGCAAAAAAAAAAGTACTAAGAAAGACATGTATAGCAAAACTGATTAAAAAAATGATAAAACATTACGAGTGAAAAAAATGGCATAATTACAGATATAGTAAAGATTATTAAAACTTAAAATAACATTCTTTATGCTAATATATTTGAAAACATGATAGAATGGATAATATTGAAGAAAATAAATTACCGAAACCAACTAAAAAAAAAGAAAAGCTGTATAAGCTAATAAATATCAAAGAAATTGATAACTAAGTGTTCCCTTCTTAAAAGAGACACAAAACCCAGATACTTTCAAAGGTAGCTTTCTCTAATCCTCAAGGAAAAGATAATCTCATATGTCAACTATTTAAGAAAAAAAATGCCAACTATTTAAAACTACTCAACTTATTTTATCACGCTAATATAACCCTGACACTAAAACTAGACAGTGACATTAGACAATTAAAAACCAATCTTACTGTAAAATATGGATTGAAAAAACTCTAAAATTCATAAATCAATGCATTTTTAAAAAGCACAAAATAAAAACAATAATAGTAACAATAAAATCCTATGTGACCAAGTAAGATTTACCTTAAGAATGAAAGGATGGTTCAATGTTAGAAAAATCCATCAATCACAAATAAAGGAAATAAATCTTAGGCCCATTTCCATTAATGCAGAAAAAAACAGAAAATAATGCACTTAAAAAATGATAAAAACCTTAAATTAGGAATAGAGGAACTTCCTTGACTTAATAAATGATCTCTCTTTTTTTACACAAAACCATACTAATCATCTGTGAAACTCTTTTCAAGGCTCTTAATTATATTCATTTAAAATATCTAGTTATATTTGCTGCTTATTTTCTTATTCAAAAAGTGACTGTTAAATGAAGGAAACTAATTGTTTCCAATGCTCCCTGCTTCTAAT